AAATTCCCATGATCAGGGAACACATTTGAACACCTTTACAAGACAAAATAATGGTTTTGGATTTTTTTTTCCTTGCGCCTGGCCATGTTGCAGGCTATAATCGCAAGCGCCTCCCAAGGGTTAATGTTCCTCAGAATACTAAACACTTACTGCACTGTGTATATTAGCTAAGAATTCACTGTAATTACTTTAATTTTGCACAGGTATTTTAATGCAAAAATTCACAACAGTGCACAATACAGCAGCAACTGACCTCTTACCTAGCCTTCTATACATGTGGTGTTGTTCCAACTCACAGCTGCACAGCAGTTGTCAGCAATTTTGTTTGATGAGTTTTCAGCACTGTCAACACAACAGACAGTTCACTGCATGATCAGCATGAAGAATTGTGTAGCACAGAGCGTCGTTTTGTACACAGCATCAGTAGACATCACACAGCTTCAGTTTGCACATAGCTTCCTCAACACACAGCTTTAGTCACCACATAGCTTCCTCAGCACACAGCTTCAGTCAGCTCAGCTTTAGTCAGCACACAGCTTCAGTTAGCACAAAGCTTCAATCAGCAGTAAGCTTCAATCACAACACAGTTTCAGTTAGCACATAGCATTGGTAGAACACAGCATTGGTAGCACACAGCATTAGTGTGATGCTCAGCCAGCATGTTTTCTCCTCCTCCTCCTCCTCCTCTGGGGCAAGACAGCATGCTTGTCTCTTGTGTTTTGAGCTTTGCAAATACTTGCCTTCACTGATTATCTTCGCCCCCAGTATGGTATTCCGTGTTGCTGTGGATGGCCTTGGTTGTAGGGTTAATGTAAAGCCATTGCTTGGTTACTGACTTTAATATTTATAATGGTACATGACTAGCAGCATCTAACCCTAAGCACTCTGTTGTATACATACTGCTGGAGTATGAAAGGCATTGCATACAAACAGATGGTGCCATTTGCTATGAATTGTTATGATCCCAGGTAGCCAAAAAACGAGTCTCCCCTTTGAGAATTATTATATCATGCAGGGGTGCCAGATTTAAGTCGCCAAAAGTTGCGAGCTGAAGAACTAAATGTCACAAACTTTACAATAAAAGTAGCCAAATATTTTTTTCCAATTAATTCGCTTTTCAGAATAAACAGCCCAGCTTATTTTAACTGTCACCGAAAAAGTAGTAAGTAGCGACATACATAGCTGGCTTTTTAATTGAATACAATTATCCTAATTGGTAACCCAATTGGGCTACTAGTAGCCCAATCTGGCATCCCTGCTATCAGGCCTGACCTGACTAGGAGGTCAAAGAAATATAGACATGAAGATTCATATGTAAAATAATTGGTTGGATTTGATAGATAATTTAAGAATATGGGCAGTGAATCAGAAAATAAGCAAATGACTTGACACAAGATGTGGAGAGTTAGCTGGAGGTGTGAGGCTCGCTTAAGAGGAGCTTGAGCTCACTTGAGCTGAAGAAATCATGAGGGGAGGGCATGCTCCGTTTGGGCCCCCCTGGTGAATAAGAACCCCTGTTTGATATACCTTCAAGAGGAAGGAAGTGGACAGACGTCTCAACTGAAGAATAAGTTAGGAGGCATGTTAGCTCAAGTCAGGAACTGCAGAAGGTGTTGAGGGGGCAGTTAAAGCAGTTCTGTGGGTAGCCTGAGGCACCCTTAGTGTCGCCGCCCCATCGAGGAGCGCCCTGTAGGAGACCTTTTTGTGGTAAGCACAATTTTAACCAGTTTACAGTGATTGCCTACAGTTGACCGTGTGCCCAGCGATCGTAGTGAATGTTTATTGATACATTAGGCATATTTTATTAAGGCAGAAGCCCTAAAATAAGAGAGTAAAGTTGGAGGAATGTCTTGGAGGGCGGAGCGACATCTGTCCACTCTGACCACTGGAGGGCAACTGAGGGGCCAGCCACCAGCTGCCTCGAGGGCCGCCGGGCCAGGCGGAGGATGGACCAACCCAAACGGGGCAGTCCACACTCACAGCATGTAGAGAGCAGAGAGATGTTGGGTGTAAACATATTGTGTGGTTTATTTCATTTATGTGTTTATAGGGAAACATTTTTATTGGTGTGTCAATGAGTTGCAGGTTTGTCTGGGGAAGGAGTTGCTGAGAACTTCGAAGCCAGCAGAGAGGGAGTAGTTGATGAGACTCCAAGGTTGTGGAAGGTACTGAGCTCTGTGGGAGAGCAGCCATACAGTGAGGAAGAGAACCTCAAGTTGTGAGTAGTGCAATGAAGTTTCACATGCTTCTGTGATACCAGTGGTAAAGCAACATTGTTGCTCAAGGAAGACTTCATGGTGTAGCAGCCGGGAGAGCTGTGGAGGACCCTGGTAGACGGTTCTAAAAAGACCTGATGATGTCAGGAAGGCCCTGACATCATCAGGTCTGACAGCTGAAAAGAACTTCCAGATGTGGAAGGGACGTTCTTGTTGACAAATTGTAGGGAGTTGGTAGAGTGTTTGGTTGTTATTAGTGTGAAAGACGCAGTGAAAGGTGAGTGGTTGATTACCATTTTTGTGCCAAGAAGTACTTAAACTTAAGTCTCCGTGGTGTAGTAGTAAGACACTCGCCTGGCGTTCCGCGAGCGCTATGTCATGGGTTCGTATCCTGGCTGGGGAGGATTTACTGGGCGCAAATCCTAACTGTAGCCTCTGTTTAATGCAACAGTAAAATGTGTACTTGGATGAAAAAACGATTCTTCGCGGCAGGGGATCGTATTCCAGGGACCTGCCCGAAACGCTACGCGTACTAGTGGCTGTACAAGAATGTAACAACTCTTGTATATATCTCAAAAAAAAAAAAAAAAAAAAGTATAGAGTTACAACCGTGGGCTGGATTACCTGCAGAGACATACATATGTGTTCTAGGACTGATAGGATGATTGATTGATCATTGTTGTATATCAAGGAATATTTATGATGATATTTATGTCATTGCAGTTATAGACTGGTTTTCCTTGTATGCATTTATGTATATGTGTATATATATTCTCTTGCTGATAGTGCAATATTGTCTTATGAGACTTGACCTACTTGGTGAGGTTGATGGTATAAGTGATGAGATAACAGTTAGGCTACCACTTGATAAGCAGATGACAGAGTCCTGATGGTATTGGAGTGCAACCTGACTACAATAGTATAGAGTGTTGGAGATATATTATTATATGTGTATATGTATTGTCCATGTGCCTTGTCCAATAAATGTATTCAAATTTTCTGGTGTTTGCCCTTGTCCTAGTGAGGCTTCCCAGAAAATAGGAAAGAGAGAGAGAGAAAGAACCAAGAACCAAAGCTGCGGACAGGGTAGTATGGAGCAACATCAAAGAAAAGGGGAGATCATACCACATAAGGAGAGAGTGGGGAGTCACGGCGGCTCGAGTGGGTGTGCGCACGTGACAACGAGGCTAGTGTTGGAGTCGCATCCCCTGAATTTGTGATGCTGAGCCCCTCTCCAAGTGCCAGAAGCCCCCAGGGTGATCTCCTGGTCAAAGTAAGCACTCTACGGAATTTTGGGTTGGTTGTCCGAAAGGAAGGACGACCAACGAGAACAACATCAACAACACCATAATAGAATATGAAAGGTACCATCTTAGCATACAGTAACTTCAGGGTGCCACAAGGTGCTTCCCCCCAAAAAACTTTGTTAATGCTAAAAGCAGTCACTATTGACCCATTAAGCAGATTAAAATATTCTGTAAAATATAGTACAGTATACCAAGGATAAGCTGTTTATATCAGTTCAGACTTAATATTGTGCCAGTCTCAATCTGGGACACATCAGCAATAAATTAGATTAGTGTCCAAGAAGAGGAGACAACAGACAGCCAGAAGTGACACTAGACAGAATCAAAGTTATTATAGAAGATTAAAAAACACCTGGAGGAATTGAATATAGCAAAAGCAATATGGCCACACCAGATATCATGCTAATTGAAGAAATCTACAGGAATTTGTAACACTAGAAACAAGAGAGCTAACAGAAATCTAGAAAAAGCAAATGTAGCCCCAATATTCAAATAAGAAGACATGTAATAAAGCTAAACATAGAGCACTCAACTACAGACCAATGTCACTTAACATGTATCCCATGCAAAATACTGGAAAGTCATCACAAAATTTTTTTTTACATTTGGAGAGAGTAAATTTTGTAATGGAGGAACAAGGATTTATTTTATAGTAGGGTCACCAAAATAATCCTAGAGAATGAAGGCTCAATAGAGTCCATCTTCATAGACTGCCAGAAACCCTTTGCTACAGTTCCTCACAAAAGACTAATACACAAGTTGGAGAAACAAGCAGGGATGAGAAGAAAGACAGTGAACTCGGTAAGAGTACCTGCTGAACAGAAAAAAGGTCTCAGTCAGAGAGAATGTATTAAGACGAGGTGTTTCACAGGGCTTTGTCACAGGACTTGTCTTTGTAAGTTAAGTAAATAACATTCCAGAGGGAATGAACATATACATGTCAATGTTTGTATATGATGCAAATTAATAAGGAGAGTAAGAACTGAAGAGGACTGTAAAATGACGCAAGAAGACCCTAACAAACTTCAGGAATAAGATAAATGGGTGCTAGAATTAAATTAAAATAAATAAAAGATAATAAAGATGTTCAAGAGAAACAAGTAACCTGTAAGCTATGAGGCAAGGCATAAGAGACAATTCATTCTTTTGGGGGACAGGAAGCCTGTGAATACACATGCAGGCTTTTATCGAGGCCCCAAGGTCGAACTTCTGATCCTCCCTAGGATGCAACCCCCCACAACAGATGACTAACTCCCAGGTGCTATTTTACCACTAGGTGAACCATATCAGTCCCACCCACCCAAGATTTAAACTCAGGATTTATGACCGAGTCGAGAACAAACCCAACTGTACTACTAAGACCCAGATAGGTAAACACAGCGCTGTTATTAAACTCGAGTTTGGTACTAACAATCTAAAAAATATTTCTATAACATATATACAGTGCTATATATCTTTATTATAATCTTTTCTTTACCTGAGAAAGGCCACATTAGCCTTTGATTCTGGCTGGGCACAGGCACAAATCTTTTCCTTTACAACCCAGGAAAAGTTCCACGGCGGAGAAATATATTTGTTTGCGACATCGCCTCTCTTCATCTTGCTCATTTTCAGACTATTAATGAGGTTCTGTTGAAAATCTCAGGAAGGCAGCAAGTCCTGATGAAAGAAAAGGAAGAAAAAGTGGTACTGAATGGATAACATTCTGAGTGGAGCACAATGATAGGTAAAAAAAAAATCAATGTTAATTGTAATGAAATACAGTGTAGCTCATTCTGGGTCAGCCCCAGTGGCTTCCTGAAGCTATCTCACCAAGATGGCTCTCCACTACTCCAGCACAATCACAAGAATCCTGTTTGGCCTACTGGGGACCAGAGCCAGAACCTGGCCCCCATAGTGTGGCAAACAGAGCTGAGGACTATTATCATCACCCCATCAGGAAAGCAACCAGAAGGTCAGTGAAACTTTACATACAATCTGCAAAACTGATAGAAAATGAAGCAATGAAATGGCCAAATGACTGCAAACTGTGTAGATGTAAACCCATTAGCATCAATAACCACAATACAAAGCCCCTTTGTTTAACCCTTAACATGCTAGGGGTATAATATCCTTTCTTCCCCACAGGCGCATGTAATTTTGAAAAAAAAAAAAATATTTTTTCTTCCTAACCTGTTAATTTGTGTTTACTGATCACGGGAAAAATAATAAAAAAATCGTAAGTGGCATATATTGCCCACTATAGGGCGGGGAAGTCTGGCAAAAAACAGGCGCTGACTCTGCGTGCGTCCCAGGTGGTCTGTTGATCGCCAGCTGTCAGGCCGGAGTTGCCACAAAGAGATAATTACCTAATTATTTCAATGTCTCCAATTGATTTTTCATAGTTTTTTTGCTGTAATATTATTCAATAGTGTGTAGTTTGATATATTTATATAATAAAATGAGTGAATCATCGCTGTACTCAAAAATATGGTGTGCATATTGTTGATTCAATTATGTTCATCAATCAGTGAACAAATACTTTGTCGGTTATTACACTATATACACAGGTTATATATAAGTATCTGCATGTTTTGTTCACCATAACGAACCACTAAGTAGCTATTATGAGTCAAAAAGTAACGAGGAGTGACCGCCATGTACCAGCCAGTCACTCACGCCCTCCCTCAAGTCATCTGACTCACCCACATTCTCCTCCCACAATACTGTTTTTGCTTTTATTCACTATATACAGACGTTATATATAAGTATCTACATTTGTGTTCATCATAACGAGCCACTAAGTTGGTATGCTGAGTGGCAGTGGCAGTGACAGGCAGTGGCAGCCCGCCACTGGCTGCCACTCCCTCCCTCCCTCACCTCACCTGACTTGCCACCATTCTCCACCAACCATACTGTTTTTGCTTTTATATACAGACGTTATATATAAGTATTTACATGTTTTGTTCACCATAACTGTACATCTAAGCTTGTATGGTGAGTAAAGGCACAAAGACGTAGGACCTCACACAGTCAGCTGATGGCTGCCGCCCTCAAGGCCAGACGCACTAATATTTCTCCTCCAACAATACTGTTTGTGGTGTTATTACGCTATATACACACATTATATATAAATATCTACCTGTTTTATTCACCATACTTGTACAAATAAGCCGGTCAAAATTTTTCTACAATGTACCTTTTTATCTTACCTGATATGTTACCTTATCTTGCAGCTACCTTGCAATGATTTTGGGGCTCAACGTCCCCGTGGCCTGATCCTCGACCAGGCCTCTTCCAGGACTGTTAGATTAAGGACCTGCTCGAAACACTGCGTGTTAGTGGCTTTGCAAGAATGTAAAAATACCAGTCTTATGTAATCTCGGAAACCCATTTTACCTTCTTGTAAATAAAATTATTATTTTTATATTACCAGGCAGCCCAGAGCCCCAACCCTTACCTGCTCCACTTCTTAGTCTGGAGCTAATAGACAACAAAATGACAAATCAGTGAACCTGGTCGGGGAGAGAGAAAGTTAGGGAACAATCGGGGCTCACCCAGAAAGAGACATTTCATTACATTTAATACTGGGGTTTCTGGAAGGAACTCCTTGGTGGCTCCTTAAAACTAACAAACCATGGAGAAACAAGAAAACAAGAGACTTATCAGGAAGGAGATAAGGCTAGACCTAGGATGAGGATGAGAACACAGGGTGGGAAACCCAGCCCAGCATATACCTAAGACCAACAGGGACCAAGGACACTAACTAATTACCAGGCCACTAAGATCCTGCTCGACCTCCAAAACCCTGAAGTCTGAATATTAGTCTATGTAAGTATACTTCCGATGAGGTATACTTACGAATGTCATGAGCCCGAGAGCTGGCTAGAATTGATGACACTGTACACAACTTAGGAAATATGTGCCATTGAACAGGAGACCAAGGAAACAGGGTCAGTCAACAACACATCCATAAAGACAGAACTGGTGACATGTAAGTGGTTACTGAGTGGCGACGAACAGCCGCCACTGGACACAACAAATGATGCACCCCCAGCCGAACTAACCAAGCACTAGTCTCCAAAGAACCCCCTCCGGAAACTAGCCAACTCATTTTTTGCCAGAAAAGAAAGAGAAGACTGTAGATGAGCAAACCACCCATCAAGGGCAAACAAATGAAACCCACACCTCTGGAGAAAAGCACAAAGTTCACCTACTCAACAGCCAGAGATAAGAGCTAGCAAAACAAAGCTTTGAGAAAAACATCCTTGGTTCAACGAAACGAAACCATGAACGAAAGGAGGAAAGAAACCTGGTCAAGATAGGTCCAAGTACTGAGCCCTGTGGGACTCCGCTGGTGACATCTCGCCACTCTGATGTCTCCCCCCTCACCGTTACTCGCCGTTTCTTGTTGCTTAAGTACTCCCTTATCCACTGGAGCACCTTCCCTTTTACTCCTGCCTGTTGCTCCAACTTTTTTAACAGCCTTTTATAGGGTACTGTGTCAAAGGCTTTTTGGCAATCCAGGAAAATGCAGTCGGCCCACCCTTCTCTTTCCTGCCTAATTTTTGTTGCCTGGTCATAAAATTCTATTAAACCTGTGAGGCACGATTTACCATCCCTGAACCCATGTTGGTGGTGCGTTACAAAGTTATTTCCCTCCAGATGCTCTACGAGCCTTTTCCTCACGATCTTCTCCATCACCTTGCATGGTATACAAGTTAAGGAAACTGGCCTGTAATTCAATGCCTCTTGCCTGTCACCCTTTTTGTATATTGGGACCACGTTAGCTGTCTTCCAACTTTCTGGTAAGTCTCCTGATTCCAGTGACCTGTTATACACCATAGAGTGTGGCCCACTTAGTGCTTCTGCACCTTCCTTTAGTATCCATGGTGAGATTCTGTCAGGCCCAACAGCCTTTGTCACATCCAGCTCCAGCAGACACCTTTTGACCTCATCACTGGTGAGGTCAAATTCCTCCAAGGTTGCTGGTTTGCCGCCTCCTCATTTAGTGCAGGGGCTTCTCCTTGTTCTATTGTGAAGACCTCCTGGAATCTCTTGTCGAGTTCTTCACACACCTCCTTGTCATTCTCTGTGTATCTGTTCTCCGCTTTTCGCAGCTTCATCACTTGTTCCTTCACTGCTGTTTTCCTCCTGATGTGGCTGTGGAGCAGCTTTGGTTGGGTGTTGGCTTTACTCGCGATGTCATTTTCAAACTGTCTCTCTGCTTCCCTCCTCACTCTGAGGTATTCATTTCTGGCCCTCTGGTATCTCTCCCTGCTCTCTGGTGTTCTGTTATTCCTGTAGTTTCTCCATGTTCTTTTACTCAGTTGCTTCGCTACCTTGCAGTGGCTTTACAAGAATGTAAAAACATCAATGCTATGTACTCTCATAAACCCAATGTACCTCCTTGTATATAAATAAATAAATAAATAAATAAGTAAATAAATAATTAACTCGAGGACGATGCCGAAGATCCAGCAGATCGGATGCACTCCGAGTACTCACTGGGTAACAGAATGTTTACGTCGCTTAACTATAAGGTACCAAATAAATAAGCACGCCCAGTGAGTGGTCTTGGACAGTTAGTTAGTTGAGCTACCTCATCCCTTTGTGTGTATTTTACCTCAATAAACTTATTTCAATTTCAATTTCAATTCAGTTAGTTATTATTCACCCCATACCCATCCTAAGGGTGGTGGTGGAAAGGGTTACAGAAGCACATAATGAGCTCAGGAACTGAACCCCGTAGTTTATTTAGTTAAGCAAATAACAATTTATTTATTTATTTATTTATTTATTTATTTATTTATTTACAAGAAGGTACATTGGGTTTATGAGAGTTCATAGCATGGTGTGTTTACCTTTTAGTAAAGCCACTAGTACACATAGCGTTTCAGGCAGTAACAATCTTGTGAAGGTAGTTAAACAATTGTAGTTTAGTTTTAGTTTAGTTCATTTATTATGTACCCCATACCCATCTTGTGGGCGGTAGTGGAAAGGGTCACAGAGGCACATAATGGGCTCAGGGACTGAACCCCACAATTCATTTAGCTAAGCAAGTTACAATCTTGATGAGCTAGTTACAAAATTCAGTATAAGTCGTCACATCAACAATAGGTTCGAGATCGACCACAAGTACAGTTTCTAAATTAAGCAACTGACATATGTGGAGAGCTAGTGTCACAATTGATATGTTTGTCCTGCACACCGCCCCCCATCCAGTGGGCAGCGGTGGATAGGTTACAATCACTCGTAGTTACTACCTACAGTTAGCAAACTGGGAATATTTGGCTAAAATTTCTGGTAGCAAATCATTTAGAATGAAATATTTACAATGATTGAGAAGGTCATTCCACATTCTGGGTCCCTTGATTTGTAGAGCATGTAGTGAAATGCAACGCAACCCCGTACAGTGGGATGGGTATGGGGTGCATAATAAAAGAACTAAACTAACTACCTAAACTAAAAGTATTATTAGATTAATTATTATTATTATTGCTACTTCGTATACACAAATTGTTTAAAATATATATTTAGGAACACTGTTCCTATAATTTATTTCATAGCCAACATTATATTAAGAAATAATCATACATGCAGCTGCACGGCCGGACTGATTTGCTGACCGAAACACACCATACAGCCAAGCCACATCCAAATATAAAGTTAAGACAGCAGCACCGAATGACAGCTCTCTCGCTCATTTCACCCATTTAACCTAGGGCGGAAATTTCATTTTCCGGCTAATTACAAGTTGTTCGAATGCTTAGTTGCCATTATGAATTGATAAAATTACATTTACAAATGTTTATATAAAAATATGATATTAATTAGCTTATAAATGACTATTAGACTTAATGTTTTAACTGATTACAATTCCAGTGATAGTAATTGCTCATGTTTGAAGTGATTGTATTATCAAAGCCAACGTGAGGATTTCGGACACGAGTCGTTGTTTACATCGATCAGCTGTTTGAGTCAGTGTCACTAGTCACTGGAGACGAGGAGCACTATGTACACCGCTGGCACACTGTAATACAGTACAAAAGCAGAATGAACTTTGTGTAAGTAATATATTCTTAAGTCTAAGTCAATTGAACGCCCGCCTAAAGTAGCTGGTTGTAACTTGTTTTTACAAGTTAAAATTAGCATTCTAAATCACAATTAGCATACTTTAATATATATATCTATGTTCTTAGGCAAGATTTTACATCCATGCTGTTTTGGAAAGCTGTCCCTATTAGGAAACATATGGTGCTTTTCGAAGATTAACTTTAGAAGCTTCTTTAATAATGACTTTCTACCTACCAAATACTATACTTTTTACTATTATTATAATAATAATAAATAGTAATATGCCTACAAAAAACATAAGACAGAAGTTTAATTGTAGATACAGGGGTTGCACATAAAATTAAGCCTATGCAGTGCGTTATGGGCAAAACTTGGAATAATTTAGATAAAAATAATTTATCTGAAATGCCTGAATTTTATCCGAATTGTTAAGTGTCTCACGGCAAGAGCCAGAAGACTAGTATTACTAATAAAACAGAAGAATAAATGTACACTGTTGCTCTGTTAAATATGACTTCTGAGAGTAGCAGGGTTGTCGGTAAGCTATGATAAATGTGGCTATTGTGATTTTGCAGGAGGGCCCAGGACAATATCAATAAAATGTGGGTTTCAAACTGATATACCACTGTACTTGTCTTAAGATCTCCGTCACTTTGCGAGACATACGATGAGGAAACTGAAGGCAAAGGACTCTCACTTTTATTACATACCTACATTGACAAACTCGGGAAAGTTTGGAACAGCATTGAGAATAATGATGTACCAGTTGATAAGAATGAATAAAAAATTGATGCAACTAATGATTGAACTTTAAATGAAATTGTAGAGGAATTAATCTATGAGAATAAAGACATAATAATGAACTGCTTGAAGGTCAATTATAGTTTTGAAATAACTTTATCCAAGTTTATAGTTGGAATAAAGTTAGATAGCATGCTAATACAGTAGCAGTTAGATATCCAACCTACAAGGAAAGGATCATTCCTCCATCCCTCTGTCCTAACTACAACATTTCACTTGGAGTTCTTGTCACAAACTGACCCATTGGGGTTTGATACCTAGTTGATCCAAATAACTAGTTCTTCTCCCCAAGCCTGGCCCAAGGTCAGGATTGACTTGTAAGCAGTTGGCCCAACAGGCTGTTGCTTGGAGTGGCCCGCAGGCACATGCAGAGTTTAGAGTCCTCCGTGTCACTCCTTCCCAGGCCTTGTCGATCAAAAATAAGGCACCCAGAATATTGAAGTGGTTCTTCCAGAATTTTTTGAGGGTCAGCTCTGTATTGTCAGTCACATCAACACACCTCTCCAACACAGCCTTCATGTAGAGTTTCTTAGCCTGCAATGACTTTCTGGTCCATAGGTTGGAGGAGTGGAGTGGTATTGGGAGGAAGGAACTTTGTGATAAACTGATTTTCGGGATACAATTCATCTCGCATCTGTGGAGGATGTGCAGGAGCATTATCGAGCACAAGCAAGGCCTTGAGTGGCAACTGTTTCTCTTGGATATTTTCTCGCTGAAAGGCCAAAAATATCATTGATCCATTCAGTAAAGAATATCCGCATGACCTAGGATTTCTTATTGGACCTCCACATCACATTCAGTTGTGCCTTGTACACTTTGCATGCCTTGAACACGCGTGGATTTTCTGAGTGGTAGACTAGCAGTGGCTTGACCTTGCAATTGCCACTTGCATTGGCGCAGAGCACGAGAGTAAGCCTATCCTTCATCGGTTTGTGGCCAAGCAACAATTGTTCCTCCTGTGTGATGTAGGTCCTCTTCATCATTTTCTTCCAAAACAGGCCAGTCTCGTCACAATTAAAAACTTGTTGGGGGCAAGAACTCCTCTCTAGCAACAAATTCTTGGAACTCTGGTACAAATTTCTCGGCAGCAGCTTTATCAGAGCTGGCAGCCTCCCCATGTCGCACAACACTGGATACCGCTTCTCTTCCTAAATTTCTCAAACCATCCACGGCTTGCCCTAAATATCTCAATCCTCTTCAGACAACGCACATGGTGTCTTCCTGACAAGGTCCACATACAACTTCTTGGCCTTTGCACAGACAAGAGCTTCAGACACACTATCGCCATGTAATTGCCTTTCATTCATCCAGACTAGTAGTAGCTTTTCAACCTCTAATAGAATTTGTGGACGTTTCTTGTTAACCTTGGTAACTCCTTTAGCCACCAAGCGTCTTAAATTGTTCCTTCCTCTTCAGAGTGGTACAAATCGTTGATGAGAACCTGCCATACTCCCTGACGAGATCAATCGCACGCACACCACGCTCTTGCTTTGCTATTATTTCCTTCTTCACTTCCACAGTAATTGTCGCTTTCTTCCCCTTACCAACACTGTCTTTAGCAAGCAGCTTCTTTGGTGACATCGTGCGTTACAAATTGCAGTTGCAAAACCACAAAAAAAATAGAAAAGCGCAAATAAATCCAGAGGGATGCTTGTAGTGTGAGATACAAGAACAACACTGGCGTTGGAGGCGTCAGAGAATTTGCGAGAACCTGCGAGATGCTAGGAAGCACCATGTGGTTTTCCTCGTTAATAGAGGTGAAGCTTGTCAATAGGGACAAATTTGCTGCAAGTGGCTTGCTCGTTACTGGAAATGCTCGTTAATAGAGCCGCTCGTTAATCGAGGTTCCACTGTACATCATTCTCCCAAGACTCTAAATTGAATCTTGTTTGAGAAGGTAGTCTTAACACTTCGAGGGAGAGGATGCGCTATGGTACAGCAAGGGACACAGTGCTCGGTTTCACCAGGGAGGAACTTTGCAGACATTTTACTAGGGGACAGTGCTTCTGCACCTTGATGCTTTGAAGAGAAATGTCAACAGGGAATGCAACCTCTGGACCAGGGAATGTCAAGATCATTCAAAGCTATTATGCCTGTATAACCTTCACCTGGGCTATTGAAACTGAAAATGCAGGCACTAATCTCATGGTATTCTAGAAAGATCACTAAAGATCATGGGGAAAAGTTATGGAATGAAGTAAATGGATAACAAGGATAGTTTGGAAACAATTTGCCCTTAATTTGTGGAATATTTTGAAAGTTTTGAAGAACAGTTGAAAGGGAAAAAATTTACAACTGTACAGACTGCTGCAATTAGAAAAGAACCTTTTGATTTTTTTTAATTATTTTTTTTCCTTCCAGATGTTTTATGGCAATGTAATTCAGCAGAACCAACTTTGATCTGATATTGGTATGTACTCTGCTGGTGTTAATCTGTTGCGTAATAGTTAAAATTACATTACTGTACTTTAAATTTGCTCATGCTTTTCATTTCTTTCAGAATTGTAAAGTTTGTTACCTTAAGATAGCAGATTATAAACTACAGTACATTCCAACCATGGGGGATCTTGAGCATTTTGAAGACATGCTGCTACGAAGTGCCCGTAATGGAGACATAAACATTGTGAAAGAAATTTTGAAAGCAAAACAAGATGGAAAAATTAACATGGACATTAGTTGTAAAGGTAGGTTAATAGCATATTTAAAAGCAATACAGGTATTACAAACTGAAGTAAGACTAACTTTGAGTAAAGTTGTTTGTGTGGATGTGTTTTCAGCTGTTTTGTGTTTTAAGTGATCAACATGTTTTTCACTCTTGAATTACTAGTACAATTGATCAATTCAGGTGCCAGCTGTATGTGCAATGGTAAAAAAATATTTGATTGTTAAAGATAATGAAACGTCATTTACTGGCAGCCTCGGTAGCTGACCGGTGCATTGGCACTAAGACCACAGAGCCACAAGACTACCATACCTCTAGAGTTGCAATGGCCTACCAAACCCCAGGACTAGAATCTGGCATGCTCATAGAGGCAAGATTAGCATGGGGACCCGAAGGTCAACCTCATAATAATAAAACCACCCTGAAAGTTCAGGGAAATTGTATCATGATAAAAGAAAAAGATGGAAACCAAGGAACTGGTAATTTTGCCTAATACTATCAAACAGAGCACTAGTATCTTGGTGCACCAAAAGATGGCAGCTAAAGTCATTAAAGTAGTCTGCAAGGACCTGGTGCATTAAACAAAATCCCCTAAACCAATGAATTGGCATAATCTCATTTGAGTGTTCACACTGTGGTTGTGTAATAAGTTTTATTTCTTTAAAGGTGTTCTTGGTTTTCATCATCTTTTGGCCTTTTTGGTAGTAGCCATCAGTGTGAGGTATCTGGTACCTTTGGTTCCATCCGCCTGTGTCGAGAGGCAAGGGGATGGAAGTGCTAGTCCATGCCTCCAGTAGGCTATGAAAAAGTGAGATGCCTGGTCAGTATTAGTCCTGGAGTACCAGTGCACATTCTGTGTGGAGGCACTAGAGAAAAGTGGGTGGGAAACCTCACTGAGTGTGACTTTGCTTTGTATTATAAGTTACCACTATAGCTACAGAATCTTGCCTAAGGTAGCTAAGCCTCTCTAATGTACACTGTACACTGTCATTTTCTGGGGGGAGCCCCGTCGGCTCCCCGGAGCTATCCCAGGCTGATATGCTAATGTCAGACTTTGGCATCAGTCATGTGTATGGAGTTCTTAGGCCTACCGGGGACCACGGCCAGAACCGGGCCCCCTCAGAGAGGCAAGGGGAGCAATGGCCTATAGAAGCCCCCGTGTAGTTGGAAGCATTCTATGTCTGCCATCGACCGGAACAGGCACCCAGAAAGGTAAGCGCCCCAAAACAAACCCCTATTCTGGTTAAAATTGCTACCTAATACCGAACTAGTGGATAGAACTCCCCAACCGAAAACAAGCAAATTAGTGTGACGTCACACACTGCCGCGCCGCTGTCTGCGCAGCTCCCCCCTCCCCGGGAGGGGGAAGGGGGAGCCCCAGACCCCCCGCGCCGGCTACCCACACCTCAGTTCTTGAGGCTGGATGCCTAACACTGTCGCTTCGTATCGTGCGGCGCTGGCGGAGCCGCTTCAGCTTGCTTTCGGTATCGATGTTACGTCTGCGCCGTTTCGCAAGCTGTCTCGTGCATTGTTTCGCCTCCGGCCTGCTCATGCGTCGCCTGAGCCGTCCTGGTCTTTGGACAGAGTGCTCGCTTTCCTTTCATCTCCTCGTTTCGTTGTGGCCCCTTCGGTCCAGGATTGTTTTTCCAAGGCACTTTTCTTGTTGGCTTTGGCCTCTGGGGGTCGGGTGGGGGAGCTTCATGCTCTCCTCCGGCGCAGGGGTTTCTGCTCTTTTGGTCGTGGTGATAGTTTTGTTCGTTTGCAGCCGTCTCCTTCTTTTCTGGCGAAGAATGAGACTGCTGCGTTCCGGAGGGGTCCATGGGTGGTTGATGCTTGGTTGGTCAGGCCGGGGGTGCATCATGTTTTGTGTCCGGTTGCGGCGCTTCGCCGTTATTTGCGCGCCACAGCTTCTGTGTCCGGGGACGCGCTGTGGGTTGATCCGGTTTCCCTTCTTCCCTGTTCGCGGGTTCGGGTCTCTCAGGTCGTCCGCAGGGTTATTAGGTCTTGCCAGCCTGCGGTCTATCCCCGTGCCCATGACGTTCGTAAGTTCGCGGCTCTTGCTGCCGTCTTTGGGAATATGTCTTGGTCTGATATTCTGGCGCGGGGATTTTGGCGGTCGAACAGGGTCCTGGCTGCTCGTTACCTTGTGAATGTCCCTGGCCCTCGTCGGGCCTGTGTTGCTTTGGGTCGGCGGTTGCAGCCAGTTGTCTCGGCTTCGAGTTGCGGGGTGAGCGACGACCGCCTCCCGGGTAAGTCCCTCTTTTTCTGTCTGTGGGTAGTTAGCTCCGGGGAGCCGACGGGGCTCCCCCCAGAAAACCAGCGTTGAATGTAATGAAACGCCATTTTCTGGGTGAGTCCCGGAGGCTCCCCGGCATCCCTCCCTCCCTCCGGTCGGCGGTTTTTCGCGTTTTTGACATCCAGCCTCAAGAACTGAGGTGTGGGTAGCCGGCGCGGGGGGTCTGGGGCTCCCCCTTCCCCCTCCCGGGGAGGGGGGAGCTGCGCAGACAGCGGCGCGGCAGTGTGTGACGTCACACTAATTTGCTTGTTTTCGGTTGGGGAGTTCTATCCACTAGTTCGGTATTAGGTAGCAATTTTAACCAGAATAGGGGTTTGTTTTGGGGCGCTTACCTTTCTGGGTGCCTGTTCCGGTCGATGGCAGACATAGAATGCTTCCAACTACACGGGGGCTTCTATAGGCCATTGCTCCCCTTGCCTCTCTGAGGGGGCCCGGTTCTGGCCGTGGTCCCCGGTAGGCCTAAGAACTCCATACACATGACTGATGCCAAAGTCTGACATTAGCATATCAGCCTGGGATAGCTCCGGGGAGCCTCCGGGACTCGCCCAGAAAATGGCGTTTCATTACATTCAACGCTGGTTTTTTGAATTTTTTACTAAAATTGACTTGAATCTCATAGATTGGTACATTTGTGTTAATACTATGTTCACATAAACTTAAGATTTACCCAAAATGCTGCATGTAACAAATGACTTTATACAAAATTACAAATAATGTATCTACAAGGTAATCGCTGTAATCAGATCCTCTGTAATTTATATAAATTACCTGAAATTTTATTATACATCCACAATGAATGTCAATAACAAAATTTAAAACCATTAATATTTAACAGGGAAAACTAAAAGTAACCAAGGATGGACTCCATTACACTTGGCAAGTTACTTTGGTCATGGTGGTGTTGTGGAAGTTCTCCTACAGCACGGCGCAGCAATAGACGAGCTTAATGATGCTGGGGACACACCCCTGCATAAAGCTGCACTAACAAACAGAGAGGTAAATGATTACTGAATATGGGTGACATTTTAATTACATTAGAGAATGAATATGTTGATACTGTTTAAACCTAAAACTGCCCCAAGTCTGCATGGATGGCTTTCCTTTCAACGCTTTATAGCTGTGATTTGTTCAAGTACTATACTTTATCTGGTATGGCTAGAGTATAGCATAAAACCATTTTATATTTCAAAGTGGAAATATTGATTTGATTTTTTTTTTTTGGGGGGGGGGGGGGGGGGCCCCAAGTTCAATTTACAGTGGTACAGTACCTAGGTGTACGACTGACCTAGAGTACGAATTTTTTGCTATACGACATCAAATTCATTGTAAAACTTGAGTTGGTGTACGACGTTTTACTGGAAGACGCAGTCTGTTAATACATGTATGGGTCAAATGAGCGCATAGTGCTGGGGGCGCACGGCGAGGCACACTGTTTGTTTACCAGTGTATCCCACGTAGTGACGACCATGACTGCGCTTAAATTCTTTGAAGAATTTCGTTGTTTTTCTGCTTTTTTATTTTTTTTAACACAAGTTCTTATTACTGTAATTGAATCAACAATATGCACACCATATTTTTGAGTACAGTGATGGTTCACTCATTTTATTATATAAATATATCACACTACACACTATTGAATAATATTACAGCAAAAAAACTACGAAATATCAATTGGAGACATTGAAATAATTGGGTAATTATCTCTTTATGGCCACTCCTGCCTAACAGCTGGGAGCAACAAACGCTGAGTCAGCGTCCTTTTTTTTTTTTTTTTTTTTTTTTTGTGCCTGTGGGTGACAAATGCTAATTAGCCCTGAGCAACACAAGGGTTAAGTGAACTACCAAGAGGGTCCTCTAGAAAATCATCATTGAATATAATGAAACGCCTCCTGGTATGGCCTCTGTAGCTCCCCCGATTCCTTCCCTCCCCTCTTTCCCCTTTTCCCTATCAGCTGCATCTGTTTGTGGTCTATCAGCTATAGCTATGGAACCGACTCATTCCAGGAGCCTGGAGCTATGGGAGTGCCACCTATTGGCAGCCACTCGCACTATGGGGTTCGAGCTAGTTTGAGGGGAATATTTAGGTTTGAATCATTTGCAGAGTCGTTTGTCTGTTTTGGGACTTCATTCTTTATGAAACTCGATATGTTTTCTTGGTGAGGGTGATGGTAACAATCCTCTGCACTCTTTGTCTCGGTGAGAGGGGCCAGGTTCTTGCTCTGGTCTCTGGTAGGCCATACAGGACTCCTATGGGTGGTGTAACTTGGTAGGGGAAAGCCATCTTGGCTAGATAGCTTCAGGGAGCCACCAAGGGTCTACTAGAAAGAGGCAATTCATTAAATTCAATGCTGTTTTGGTATTAAATAGTCTTAAATATGTATTTTAACTTGCTTTGATATTTATGCCATGCAGAGGTTCAGCTGCTTTGTCACCTTTTGAATGGTGTAGTAGTTTGAAGGATTTTAGTTCATGTACAGAATTGTAAAAAAATTTCTGTATCGCAGAAATTTTTCATTTTTTCCTTACTACTGTACAAGTATGGTTCTATCAAGTAATATTTAAATTTCTACAAAAATACTAGCGCTTTTAGAAGGTTAACCAGACTATAGTTTCCATGCTGTTATGTACACATGGAAATGAGTTTGGCATTACAAATTAATGTTGCCAGACAGAGGCCCACGGCTGGATCATTCCTCCGTTCTGCTGTGCCAACTATAACATTTCACTTGGCGTTCTCGTCACAAACTGACCCATTGGGGTTTGATACCTAGTTGATCCAACCTCCTAAAAGAAAAGCTTCCTGATGATCCTAAGCGGGGAAAACTTATTTACAATGTCCACATTACGAGTTTCTCGACAGATCTGGTACAGGCAGCCCTTAATTTACACAAGATTACGTTCCTGTAAAAAAATGGGAATGGCATGTACACAATTTAAACTAAGATACAGAATATGGGGAAAATAGAATAGCAGTCCATTTATCTCAAGTTTAATTTTGTACACTTAATAAACGACAGTAATATTTTGTGCTCGCTCTAATTCTAAAATAACAAGGAAGGAAGTCCAGAATGCTGAGGATGTGCAATGATGCAAGAATATAAACTACTGTAAGCCTGTGGATTAGGGTAAATTATCATCCCTAATCCATATAAATCTGGAATCGACTAGAAAGTAAAATTTGCTAATGCACTTTGATATCTTCCGATCTGCATTCCCTGATATCGTGCAAACAAATTTCAGTGTGTTGAACATATTTGTTCATGCTTTGTTTATTTTTTTCATTTGTTTTGCATCTCCACCCTCGTGCGCCTCCCACAAACAGTTTGGGCTATCTCCTCCTTTATCAGCTGAACCTGGGAGGTTATTATAGTACAGAGGGCCACATGCTTTCCACATCTCTCGGGACTGAGACCGAGCAGATAACCTGTAGTCTGTAAAAGTGGTTCGTCCTCCTGAAATCTAGAAAGGGAAAAAAATTAGTTTGATAAAAATTTGACAGATTTTGTTTCGTCTTTCCAATAAGAGAAGTACTAATCCACTTTTAACTTGATTCTTATTGTTGATGGAGCATAGTTATTTAATTGGAAGAGGTAGTGGTGGTGGATGTTGGTGTTGGGTTGACTGAAGTGGAGATTAATGGTGAGGAATTAATCTTTGTTGTTGAAGCACTTGGGTCAACATATGAGAATTTTCATTATCGAGGAAATTAAGGAACATTATTATAATATGATAACATGTTATCAAGGAAACGCAGCTTTCCTGTACGTATATGTAATGAAACCCAATATTTAGTTTAATTTTCCTAGTAGATACTTGTGCATATGTACATGTATTATTGTTTTAAGACTTGTGTAATGTTTATTTCTGAAAATAATACCTATGCTTGTTTTCATTTTAGGATGTAGTACTTCTACTGTTGGAGCATGGAGCCAGTGTGTCCATCATTAATGGCGAAGGCTTGCGTCCCTCGGATCTCCCACGGGATCCACAGGTTCGGTACCAAATTTATCTAACATAAGCTTGTGTGTATATTGATGAATATAACCCAAAGAAATCTGACAAAATTACAGTGGAACCTCGGTGTACAAATTTAATCGGTTCCAAGAAATGCATTGTAACCTGAATATTCGTACACCAAATCAAATTTTCCCCATAAGAAATACCTGTAATGTAAATTGAATGAATCTATTCCACATCCAAAAATATTAACTTAAAAATACATTTTATACAGAATACTGTTCATTTTTTTTTTTTTTTTTTTTTTTTTTTTTTTTTTTTTTTTTTTTTTTTTTTTTGTTACACAAAACAGTCTGGAATAAATATGAACCATAAATGAATATACAGCAACATTTTACCTTTACTGAAAACTCGTGTTGGGGTATAGAAGACGGTAAGGAGAGGTGTGTTTGGAAGTAGTCCCCTTCCATTATCACATCACGCCATCTCTTGCTCACCTTTAACAGTTTTGTATCTGCATCACTCGTTCCATATTTTCCCTTCACCTATTTCACTACTTCTGTTTTGTAGCAACCAGTCACAGCTAGTCAGGCATTCATAGTCAATGATCCAAGCATTCACAGCTGTGGTAGCAACCAGTTAGGCATTTATCAGTCATGCATTTACAGTTAGGCAAGCCTTCAGTCGCAACCAGTCGGTTGGTAAACAATAAGAGTTTATTGTCGGGTACTTGAGCAATCTGCCTCCTGGGCCACCAGCTGGTAAAAAGGAAGCCCACCATATTAATATCCTCCAAACATGACTAGGAGGGACACAGCTGGGGGAATCCAGTGTGGGAGATGGTTCCAGGGAGGGTTCTGTGTGAAAATGTAGGGAGGACCGGATATGGTGATGGGGGGGGGGGGGGGGGGGGGGGCTTTGGGAGGAACCGGGTGTGACCCGCTCCTGCATTAGTCATTGTTGTATATGGTATCTCTGCTTCCTGTCTGCCCACTGCTACTCACACCCACTGTCTTCTGACTGCCCTGCTACTCACCCACTCTGTGCCCACTGAAAAACTCTGGTCTGCCTGCCTACCTGCTATGCCTTGTGCCTGTTCCTACCATCCACCTCCTTACTCTACAATCTGCCATGCCATCAACCCGATCACTTTGCCACCCACGCGTTCTGCTGCCTGCACTCTCAAATGCCTTTCTATCCCCCCACTATGCCCACCCTGTCGACCAACTTGCTCTACTGTCTATCCACACACCCTGACACCTGCCCAATCACCACTGCCCAGCCATCCACCTACTTTGCCACCTGCAATACTACTTGTCAGTCTGCCCACTGTACCACCTATCCTCCCACTGCTTCCCACCCACTCTCTTCCTGCCACTCATTCATCCACCATGAGTTCTTCCCTTGCATGATTCTACTGTGCTGCTGCTGTTACTGAAAGATTTTCTTTACTATCTTTGGCTTTAATATAAAATTGTTTAATTTTATGGGGGGGAGTCCCGATAGCTTCCCGGAGCTATCCATGGCTGATATGGATACCCTAACTATTTTGCATCAGTCTGTGGGTGGAGTTCTAGGCCTACCAGGGACTACGAGCCAGAACCTGGCCCCTCACAGAGGCATGAGGAGCAATGGCCCATAGAATGCACATGTGATTTGGAGCATTCTATATCTGTCATCGACCGGGACAGGCACCCAGAAAGGTAAGCGCCACAAAACAAACCCCTATTCTGGGAGGTGGAAGGGGGAGCCCCAGACCCTCGTGCCGGCGATCCTTACCCCAGTTCCTCGTTCGGTGGAATCGTGCATAGTCGTGTGGCTCCAGTCTTCTCTCGGTGCTGTTAATTGTTTTCAGTGTTGCTCATACGGTGGTCATGCGAGCTGGGAGTAATATTCTCAGGTACTCGGGCTGCATGTGCTTAGGGTCACTTTCCCTGAGTGCTCTGTAAGTACTGCCCCTAGAGGCTTGGGGTTCCCTTCCACATGTCACCTTGGGTCTACCTCTGTTGGCCTTTCGCTGCTTGGCGTTTGGCCGCCCTGAGTGTGTGGGGGGGGGTTTCCTTCCTTGTTTGCCTTTGGGTAAGCAGTAGTTATTGCACTGGTTGGGCACGGGATACTGCGTAGCTAGTTTTCATCTTTAACAGCGGCCGGCTCTGTTCTCTTTGGGTACATTGTCCTCTTGCGAGGTTTTCTTTTTCTTTTTGCCTGGTGGGGGAGGCTCTGGGGGTCGGGTGGCGGAGTTTCACGCTCTATTCCGACACAGAGGTTTTTGCTCTTTGGGTCGCGGTCATAGCTATGTTCATCTGCAGCTGTCTCCCTCTTTTCTGGCGAAGAATGAGACTGCTGCTTTCCAGAGGGGTCCTTAGGTTGTAGATGCTTGGTTGGTCAGGCCCGGGGGTTCATCATGTGTTGTGTCCAGTTCTGGCCCTATGCCATTATCTACACGCCACGGCTTCCGTGTCCGGGGACACGCTTTGGCTTGATTCAGTTTCCCTTCTTCCCTGTTTGTGGGTTTGGGTCTCTCGGGTCGTCCGCAGGGTAATTAAGACCAGCCTGCAGTCTATTCCCATGCCCATGGCATTTGTAAGTTTGCTGCTCTTGCTGTCATCTTTGGCAATATGTCATGGGCTTACATTCCGGCACGGGATTTTTGGCGGTCGAACAGGGTCTTGGCTGCACGCTACCTCATGAACGTTCCTGGGCCCAGTCGGGCCCATGTTGCTTTGGGTCGGCGGTTGCAGCCCGTTGTCTTGACTTGGAGTTGAGAAGTGGAGCATCGACCGCCTCCCAGGTAAGTCCCCTTCCTTCCTTCCTTGTTTTGTCTTTGGTGAAGTATCTCCGTGGAGCCATAGGGGCTCCGCCCAAAAAAACAGCATTGGATGTAATGAAACTCCATTTTCTGGGAAAGTCCCAGAGGCTCCCAGGCAACCCTCCCTCCCTCCGGTCGGCATTTTTTCTGCATTTTTTTATATCCAGTCTCGGAACTGTGGCGAGGATTGCTGGCACAAGGGTCTGGGGCTCCCCCTTCCCCCTCCTGGGTAGGGGAGAGCTGCGCAGACATGTAGCGCGGCTCGTGTTTGCTCATTTTTCTTTTGGAAAGTTCTATTCACTCGTTTGACGATTTTCGTTGTTAACAAGAATGGGTTTGTTTTGTGGCGCTTACCTTTCTGGGTGTCTGCCCCGGTCAATAGCAGATACAGAATGCTCCAAATCACATGTGCATTTCTATGGGCCATTGCTCCTCGTGCCTCTGTGAAGGGAGCCAGGTTCTGGCTCGTGGTACCCGGTAGGCCTAGAACTCTACCCACATCGACTGATCCAAAATAGTTAGGGTATCCTCATCAGCCATGCATAGCTCTGGGGAGCCTCTGGGACTCGCCCAGAAAGTGGCGTTTCATTACATTCAATGCTGGTTTTTTGCTAACATAATGTCTGCCCACCCACCAGCCATCTATCCATCCACACGCTATTCGTACATCCATCCACCTGTCATCTAGCCACCCACCCATCCATCCATCCATTCATCTATCCTGCCTGCCCATCTACCAGCTGGTCTCCCCCCCCCCCCCCCACCCCCCCAACTCCCACATTTTTCTTCACTCCCGCCTCTCTCTCCATCTCCCGCCCACCTACCCCCACCTCTCCTCCCCTCCCACTTGCCAGCTATCCATTCATTCAACCTTTCTTACCCCTCCCCCATCCATCTTGCCCTCCCAAATATGATTAAAAATTAGTGACATTTTAAAACCTCTGGATTTAGTGGAGCCCCAGATTTAATTACTTGGTTATAGCCCCATATAGGTCATTAATTAAATGGTGGATACTGAACAAGCGCTTCATACTCTAGAGTGAATGTCATACACCAGGGAAAATTTTATGACAAAATTGTCGTTTTACCTAGGAATTTGTACTCGGGCAATTGTACACAGAGGTTCCATTGTACAGTACTTTATATTTTTAAATTTGAAATAACTGGACAGTTGTTGGCAGAGTATTATTAGTATAGGCTCTTTGTATAGTTTGCATGCAATTAACTACAGAGGCAACATACTTTAGTTAATTTGTACTGATATCTAATGAGTTGTGCTTTCACATTCAGCATTCATGACTAATGCCTTGCAATTTGACAAATAAAATAACTCTGAATACTGTACTAAATCATAAGTAACACAAATGACAGGTAACAAAGCTAATAGTTGCTGCGGAGAAGACTGAACAACGAAGAAAAGAGGAGAGACTTCTACATCATGCACGAGAAGGAAAAGCTGAGGAAGTGACGAATTTGGTAAGAATGCTCGTTTTTAAATATCTATACACAATGATACTCTTGTGTACTCTAGGTACACAGGAGTATCATTGTTGGATATACTGGTGTAAATCAAATAATTTTGAAGCCTCCTCTTTTTAATAGGAATTTTGGTTAGTGCATATAGTAATGGTGTTATTGCTTGTACCTCTTATGTATTACAGATAAGGCACCATTGTTAGTTTGGGTGCAGTAGCTATTAACTTGCTTTCTTGAATGTGATACCAAAGTTGCCAGAATAATTATCCTGCAGTGCATGTTGGTTTTCTCCTTCTCCTGTAAACACTTATTACTTGTATTTTATCTTGTTTGCAATGATGTTTATTCAGGGAAAAGTACATGCATACAAAATGAGTTTAAAGAAGAATGTTGGAAGTCTAGATTGAGCAAGTTTATACAGTGGTACCTTCATTCAAGATTTGAATCCATTCAAAGAGATTGTAGCCGACGACACTACCTGGCACGACATAATGCCTCCAATGTAGCACACCTTAAGCACAATGTTGATGACATTATCAGCATCCTGGTCAGTAAATCCTGAATATGAATAATTTTGCTTAAGTTTATTTTCTTAAGGAGCATGAGGTAATTTAATGATGCATAGATGCCCCCAACAATGGCAATGTGCTGTGGTTCTGAATCATGTTGTGATTGTAAACAATATTGGGTTCATTGATACTTGAACATTGTACATAATCTTTATTACAGTCAGAATCATCTATGATACTATTATCACAAAAGTTGCAGTTATCTATTTTTAATGGCTGTTGTGGACACAAGCTGGAAAGTGTTGCTGTTAGCTCGTGCTGAATGCACCAGCGTTGGTTGCTTACTCAGTACCAAGGCCTTTTGCACCCAGGAATGGTGCTGTCACAAAATTACCTCCTATTCATAGGAAAACTGCCGCTTCACTCTTACCTTCGTTGTTGGAAGACTACTCATGACTTGCCTACACTCCCTCCGGACCTACATGCCCCATAAAATATCAAGTATGGAGTTTCACCAATTCCAGACAACCCTTCCTGGGTACTCTCCACCCCTCCCGAGAGCCCACAGGTCACCGGCCGTGCTGGCTGGTGGTTACACTGCCGGTGACTCGTTATAGTCGACTGTGACAAATGTGATGTCGTCATCGGGTATAAGTACCCATGACCCCTAGCCATCTCGTCAATCTCTCCTAAGATTGCCAAAATCTTAGGAGAGATAGACAGGGATCACAGGGGATACCAATATTATTAACTTTTAGCAATGCCTGCCTACTCGATCAGATGCTGCTTCATGTATAGGTTGTGTTTTGCATTTTAATTCTTGATCACCCTAATTTATGTTAAAGTAAGTTTTTCATATGCTGCTTTCGTGTGTTAGCCAAGTATTTCAAGGCGGGGGTTTTTGATGTTTCAGATGTTACTTGTTTATCTTAATTATAGAGTTAATTGTTAGCTTTTTTATGAGTATTCCTCCACTCCTGCTCGATTCTCACACTGTAAAGGCCTATGCATTTTTGTTTTGTTTTTAGTGTTGTGCGAGTGTAACATTCCATCTGTCCCTTACAGGTGCAGTACCGTTTCACGTCACAGGTGCCAACGTCTTCCCCCCCCCCCTCCCCTCCCCAAATGATATCTGTTTACTGGAGACTTGAGAAAGTTGATGTGATCTCTGTGTAACTACAGTTGTAAAATCTTACACTACACCCGAACACATCACATGTTGGGATGCGCAGTTTGGCCATAATTAACAACTTCGTCTGTAAAGATGCCCAGCCGAAGGGTTAAATATTACATTACATTACATACTTGATATTGCTTGATGGTTTTTAGTTGCTGGCAAAGCTCTACCATGTGAGGGCTCTGCCACAATGCTATCAAAATCCTAACAGAGGCCTACTGACATATCAACTGATTGTCTGGTGTTTTACTGTGTAACAAATGACAAAACCGTCGTTGTTTCCAGTGATTTGTTAAATTGGGCAGTGTTTAAATTGAGCTACTGTACTCCTGTAGATATATAAATGTAGATGTATATTGGCTTATTTTCATTTGACAAATACTGTAATATAATGGGAATTAAATGTTTTCCTTTGACTTTTTATTAAGAATTTTAAAATTTTAATTTCAGCTACGAGAAACAGGGGCTCCAAATGTAAACTGTGTGGACTCGTTGGGCAATACTAGTCTACATTGTGCTGCGTACCGGGGACACATAGATGTTGCTGTTGTGCTTTTACAAAATGGCTGTGATCCCTCTATCAGAAATCTAAATAGTAAGTACGGTACAGGTAATTTTTTTTTTCTCTAACGGTGACAAAATATTTGTAAATTGTTAGTGATGTGGCTTGCGTTAATAAATTTTGATACAGTAGTTGGAAAACCATTGTGTGTGGGGTGCATTTCTAGTTTAAAATATTGGTAAAATTATTAATCGTAAATGACCAGAATTTAGGTTTTGATTGCAGAACAGAATTGCATGGGACTAGAAGATAGTTATGGAACATTACTGTAGAAAGATTACTTGAATTTACCCGAGGCCACTAATACTAGTGGCCTGAACGAGGACAGGAAGCCGTTGGCTTGTCAAAGGTTCCCCCCCCCCCCATTTGCTCTGATGATCATTTCTACTTGTATTTTAAAACCCAACAGTTTTGGCATTTACATCTTTGGCGGGTAGATAGTTCCATGTGTTTATAACCCTATTGATGAAAAAGCATCTCCTGTTCTCAGTCCTACATTGTGGCTTGAGCGTGAAACTGTTGCTCTGCGTTCGTATTAAATCTCGTCTTATAGAAGATATTGTTCGGATCAACATTCTCCAAATTGTTCATTTTTTAAAGATTTTGATGAGATCTGCCCTGTCATGCCCGATTTGCAGTGTTAGCAGCCTTGTGACCCTCAACCGTTCCTGATTAAAGATATGACTTGGCTCTGGAATGATTTTTGTTGCCTGGTGTTGCACTTTCTCCAGACCAGTTATGTCATTCTGGAGATGGTCTCCATGCCTGGATGTAATAATCCAGGTGGGGAGGGGGGGAACCAGAGACTTGTGCAATTAAATTAAATAAATCTTCTTTTCCTTAAAGGTAAAGGTACACTTTACTATTTCCAGGGTTTTGGTTAGCTTTCTTTTTTTTCTTTTTATATTTTTTTTTAACTGCTGCTCCCACTTGTTGCACAACTTTTAGCGAATGATGGATTCTGACTCCAAGGCCCTTTTCTTCATCAATCTGTTGTAAGGTAATGCTATTAATTTGGTAGTTGTGATGTTAATTGTTATGCCCCACATGCAAAGCCTTGCGTTTATCGACATTAAAAAGCATTTGTAATGTCTTTGGACCATTTGTGGAGTTCATGTAGATTTCTTTGTAAGGTCTCAATATCGTTTTCACTTCCTACTTTACCAAAGATCTTGGTATCATCTGCAAATTTGATGATGTGGTTTGTAATATTCTCATCTGTCATTGATGTATTTGACAAAAAGGGTGGCCCAAAAATAGACCCCTGTGGGACCCAACTTGACACATTTCTCCACATTAATTCATATCCCGGCACACAACCGGTTAAAAAAATGTATTTTCTGTGGGGGAGCCCCTACGGCTCCCTGGAGCTTATCAGACTAATGTATGTTATATTAGACCGGGACATTAGCTAAGGAGTTCAGACCTACCAGGGACCAGTGCCAGAACCTGGCCCCTTCAGAGAGGTTTCAGAGAGGTTTATTTTGTCCAGGTCATCTTGAAGGGCATGACAATCATCTAAGTTTCTTATCCTTCCTATTATCTTAGCATCATCAGCAAACATGTTCATATAATTCTGTATACCAACTGGTAGATCATTTATGTAGACAATAAACATCACTGGTGCAAGAACTGAACCCTGTGGTACTCCACTTGTGACATTTCTCTAGTCCGATACATTGCCTCTGATTACTGCCCTCATTTTTCTATCAGTCAGAAAAATTTTCATCCATGTTAGAAGCTTACCTGTCACCCCTCCAATATTTTCCAGTTTCCAGAACCTCTTATGTGGAACTCTGTCGAAAGCCTTTTTTAGATCCAGATAGATGCAGTAAACCCAACTATCTCTTTCCTGTAATATCTCTGTTGCTCGATCATAGAAACTGAGTAAATTCAATACACAGGATCTTCCAGATCGAAAACCATACTGTGTGTCTGATATTATATCATTTCTCTCCAGGTGTTCTACCCATTTAGTTTTAATTATTTTTTCCAATATTTTGACTATTACACTTGTCATTGATACAGGTCTATAAGTAAGGGGGTCTTCCCTGCTTCCACTTTTGTAGATTGGAACTATGTTAGCCTTTTTCCACACATCAGCTACAACTCCTGTAAACAGGGATGCCTGAAAAATCAGTTGAAGTGGAATGCTGAGCTTAGGTGCACATTCTCTCAGAAACCATGGTGAAACTCCTTTGTTCTTATTTAGCTCCTTGAGCATTTTTTCCACTTCGTCTCTAGACACCTCTATGTGCTCTTGTTCTCTGGAATTCTTATTGCGTCTGGTTCCCTGAAGATTTCATTTTGTACAAACACACTTTGGTACTTTTCGTTTAATGTTTCACACATTTCCTTTTCATTTTCAGTGAATCTATTTCCCATTTTCAACCTCTGAATATTATCCTTTACCTGCAATTTGTTTATGAATTTATAGAATAGACCTGGTTCTGTATTACATTTGTCTGCAATCCCTTTTTCAAAATTTCTGCCTCTCTCCTCACTGCCGTGTTGTTGTTTCTCGCATCTTTGTATCGCTGGTACGTTTCGGGGTTTGGCCTCTTCCTATATTGATTCCATTTTGTGTCTTTTGGTCTCTGGCCCTCTCGCAATTTCTGTTGAACCAATCCTGTTTGCTAGTTCTGCATGTGTTTTGGTATAAAAAAATTTTGTGCCTTCATCATATATTTCACAAAACTTGACATACATCTCATTCACTTCCTTGCCTAGCAACAAGTCTGTCCAATTATTCTCACTAAAAAATTTTCTAAGGTTGCCATAATGTCCTCTCCTAAAGATTATAGAAAAAGATCAATTTGTAAGATAGTCTTGAAAAGATCGCTTTGTATGGTCCCACACAGGAAGAGATTCAGCTTGCCTCAAGAGTGTCCGTCAGTTAGGAAAAGATTCAGGTATTCTTGAAAATATCTATGGAAAACACAACCACGGAAGCCGCTAACACTGTTCATCTATGCTACTTGTATCAGATGCATCATCACTGAATACAGAAAACGATTCATCTATGTATCATCTATACTATCTCCAATTTATTTAGGATTGAAAGGGTGATGCTCAGAGCTGGATACAACTGGATACTCACTGTATCGTCCTCATAGGTTCTGTATCACTTGCATTCGACCTTTATGTTAGGTCCTTATTGCGCCTAGCTTCACCAATATTATGACCCTTATGTTCTTCAAACAATAAGGTTTGAATTTCACCGACAGCGTTACCTTTCAACACCGTGTCGGATAGGTGTTTGGGAGCCAGAGGCACGTGCGCCACCCATGGTTGCTCATTCAGTACTAACCCAGCCAGCAGCCCTAGGGCATTCTGGGAATTTTTTTTAAAGATGGGGGTCCTAAGAGTCCATTTCATACACAACCAACCTCGTACACATTTAGAATTGGTACCGAAAAATCAGAGCTTTCTCGGTTGGCACAGTTTCCCGCCGACCAAGAATACTCGGTTAGCGCAGTTAAGTGGTTAAGATATGGGCACCATATAACGGCTGCATATTCCAGCTTTGGTCTAAAAAAAAAAAAAGTCGCGAACAATTTCTTTAGTATTTTGCCATCCGTGTATTTAAAATGGAATAAGGAAGTTACAAAGTGTAGCATAGACTCTCTCACATGATGTTCTTTGTGGTCCACGGGTGATAGTTTTCTACCTAGAACCACCCCTAGATCTTTCTTTATCAGAATTCTTTAAAGATTTCTCGCATAATTTATAGGTCATGTGGGGGGGTCTATGCTCCTATTCCACATTCTTTAGAAATTTCTAAAGTTCCCCATAATGTTCTTGCCTGAAATCGGGTTTTTAAACTGCTTCAACCGTCTTGTTTTCTTCTTGGTTATATTGCATTGCATACATTCTTCTCAAAAAGACACTGTCACTTTTACCCAAGGAAGGAAAGTAGTGAATGTCAAATATCTTTTCCACTTGCCTGGTAAATATCAAATCGAGCTTGGAATGAACATCCTCTTGCCTCATCCTCATAGCTTGTTTAACGTGTTGATACAGTAGTGTCATGTGCCTCCCACTCTATAGATTTAAAGTTGAAGTTGCCGACTACCAACAGTCGTGATATATCTTTATCAGCTCTTGCTATAAAATCTCTCGTTATTGTTATAAAACCCTCTCGTTTATTATCCAGCTCCTCCTTCATCCATGTGTTGCATGGCAGTGGACTATATACATTTGATTATTTATCATCCTGATTGCAGATCTCCATTGCTTTTATATCAATTTATCATGGATTGGCAATCATTATTTCATTTACCTTTAGTTGTTCTTTCACCAGCACAGCAACACTACCGTTTTTCCTAATTTTTCTGTCGTGTCTCCAAACTGAGTAGCCCCTTGGAAATAAGACCTCATTTAAAATATCATCACGTTTTGTCTCCATGAGTGCAACAGGTGTTGGCTATCCTTTGCACTCTGTCCTCCAGGGTCCTGTTTTTTTTTTTTTTTTTTTTTTTTTTTTTTTTTTTTTTTTTTTTTTTTTCTCCCCAATTTCTATAGAATTGCATCAGGTCCTTGCGAGCCAATAAAAGTCTACTAGGGAACAAAGACCAAAATCTCCCCTTTCCTCCTCAGAGGCCTTGAGAGCAGGGGCTCTGTGAACATCTTCACCAAGGAACAGCCACCAGAAAGGTAGAGCAAATCAAAACAGCAGCAAGGCAAATGTAAACAAATCTGGAAATTGGTTCACCCAGTTGTTGCCACTCGCTCACCAGTAGCAACTGTGTACCACTAGATAGCAGCAGTGTGGAAATACGGGCCCCACCTAGTGAACCACCAAAGTCAAACTGCCTGGTGATACAGCTGTGACTGTTCCTAGAGTTGCTCCAAACCCTTCAGGGTCTGTATTTGCCACAAATATTGGCCATTCTTTGGATTTTGTCTTTGGGGTGCCCCATTTGCTTATGTATAGTTCTAATTTCAATATTTGCTTTACGAACATGTTTATATATAGCCTCGCTTGTTGTGTGATTTTTGGAGAAACTGTTCCTCAGGTTGCACTTGTCTAAGGATAACTTCCCTAGGTGCTCATTGGTATTATCCTTGCCCTGATCAGGGTTAACTGCCCTGGTGGGTCTGGGTGTCCATTCCTAAGAGGTAGACTCTGAGTGGAAGTGGCCTCACCCTGGGTATTGCAAGAGTTTGTGACTCGCTGCGAGGCTCTGGGTTGCGGGCAATCAGGGTTTCATTGCATGGGAAGTGCATATGGGTACTCCTTTGCAACTGCACGTGTCTAGGTTGCATTTGGTGTCGGTTACTACTAGCAAATGGCCCCTGTATCGGAGATCCCTACTTGGTCTTTACCCTAGTCCTGAAAAGCCCTCATGATTTTAGGTGTGGTTTAGGCTGTTCCCCCATACGGTTTGGTTGTTGTTCCCTGTCTGGTGCCTGTTGTCTTCGCCTCTGTTGGCACTCCTGTCTCTGTTCCCTCGGAAAAAATTGTAGCCCGTTATTGTTGTAGTCTGTTATTGTTGTTACCCCTATTGTTATAGCCTTTGTATCGGTTTGGGGAGTTGCCTCTGTTATTGTTATTACCCTTATTGTTGTAGTCTTGGTAACAGTTTGGAGAGTTCTCTGTTATGTCCCATGTTGCTTTGGGATCTGTTTAATTCTCGGTGGGTTTTCCCTCCGCCCCTGGCTCTGTCCTGGTTGTCTGGTCCTCCACAGCTGTCCCTAGAATCGTCACACTGTTGCATTTGTCTTGACGGGACGCCTTCTGGTTGTCTCTGACCTGTTTTGGGTTCCTAGGTTTATTGGGAGGTTAGGGAACCCATACCTTGGCTAAATGACATACCTTGGCCCAGTGGCCCACTACCTGCGGGCCACTAGCTCGATGTCCATGAATGCACTCTGGGTGGATCTGGTTTCCCTGGTTCCCTGTTCCAGGACTTGTTTTTTTCATGTTTGCAGTGTGTGCAAGTCTAGCCAGCCTGCAGTCTACCCTTGTGCCCATGTGTGCAAGTATGTAGCTCTGGGTTGGTGGTGATGGTGGTGTTGGTTTTGAAGGTCGAACAGGGTCTTGGCTGCCTGGTGTCAATGTTCCGGGCCCCTCTCCAGCCTTGTGTTGCTTTGGGACATCTGTCGCGTCTTGGTGTCTCGTCTTCATCTTGAGACCTGCGGTGCTGCTGCCTCCCGGGTAAGTCTCTCTTTTACTTGTATGTGGGTAATTGGCTTCATGGAGCCGACAGAGCTCCACACAGAAAACCAGCGTTAAATGTAATGAAAAATTTTTTTGGGCGAGCCCTGGAGGCTCCCCGACACCCTCCCTCCAGTCGGTAGTTTTCATCATACTACGAACTTGGGTGGTGAGCCACTTGCTCACCTGAGCGGGCTCGGAACACTAACAAACAGGCTCGCTGGTTGGATAACGATTTGCTTGTTTGTTTTTCTTTTGAGGGAGGTCTTTGGCTCTGTTCGGACATAGGTTACAATTTTTACCAGTTAAGGATTTGTATTGTTTCGCTTGTCTTCCTCGGTGCACTCCCCGGTCAATGGAAGACATGACCTTCTCTAAATATAGAATGCTCATAATGGCCATTGCTCCCTGTGCCTGAGTGGACCAGGCTCATTTTCTTTTGCTGACTTTCTGGGTACCTTCTCTTGTGGTGGCATACATGATAAACTTTAAATGTAAGGTATTCATATTACCACCACTTCAACCCCTCCTCTTTAATGGTGCCAGGTTCTGGCTCATGGTTCCTGGAAGACCAATGAGAACCCCCTCGACTGATGGCATCTAGTCGTGTCACATTGATTCGGTGATAATAGTTTCAGGGATCCTCTGGGGCTCACCCAGAAATTAGTGTTTCATGATGGGTTTTTGTTTTACATTGTAGGATAGTTTTGGCTATTGACACTTGGCTTTCTTTTTTTGCAGGTCAAACTGCTTATGAATTGGCTCAGACACAGCAAATGCAGCAAGTCCTTAAAGTACAACCAGTACGTAGTTTTCACCATAGTGTATCCAGATTTGAAGGGCCACTTCTCCGACAAATGCGCATTTTAGGCTGGAGGATGGTTTGGGTAAGTCCTGAACTTGTGGTGCTCATTTAAATTTAAAAAACAATATAAAATAATGCAGTGAAGTGATTCTCTTTGCTGAAATAATGATTGCTTTTTTACACTATACTGTTACGGTGAAGAGACTGTACTCTTCCGAATTATCTTCATTTATTACTCACATCTGAAAAGGACCCCTTGGTAGCTCCCGAAGCATAACACTAGAATTCCAGAGAACAACATAGAACACATAGAGGTGTCTAGAGACGAAGTGGAAAAAATGCTCAAGGAGCTCGGTAAGAACAAAGCAGCTGGCCCAGATGGCGTTTCACCATGGGTTCTGAGAGAATGTGCATCTGAGCTCAGCATTCCACTTCACCTGATCTTTCAGGCATCCCTGTGTACAGGAATCGTAGCAGACGGGTGGAAACAGGCTAACATAGTTCCAATCTACAAAAGTGGCAGCAGGGAAGACCCCCTCAATTATAGACCTGTATCATTGACAAGTGTAATAGTGAAAGTATTGGAAAAACTAATCAAAACTAAATGGGTAGAACACCTAGAGAGAAATGATATAATATCAGACAGACAGTATGGTTTTCGATCTGGAAGATCCTGTGTATCGAATTTACTCAGTTTCTATGATCGAGCCACAGAGATATTACAGGAAAGAGATGGTTGGGTTGACTGCATCTATCTGGACCTAAAAAAGGCTTTCGACAGAGTTCCACATAAGAGGTTGTTCTGGAAACTGGAAAATATTGGAGGGGTGACAGGTAAGCTTCTATCATGGATGAAAAATTTTCTGACTGATAGAAAAATGAGGGCAGTAATCAGAGGCAATGTATCAGAATGGAGAAATGTCACAAGTGGAGTACCACAGGGTTCAGTTCTTGCACCAGTGATGTTTATTGTGTACATAAATGATCTACCAGTTGGTATACAGAATTATATGAACATGTTTGCTGATGATGCTAAGATAATAGGAAGGATAAGAAATTTAGATGACTGTCATGCCCTTCAAAAAGACCTGGACAAAATAAGTATATGGAGCACCACTTGGCAAATGGAATTTAATGTTAATAAATGTCATGTTATGGAATGTGGAATAGGAGAACATAGACCCCACACAACCTATATATTATGTGAGAAATCTTTAAAGAATTCTGATAAAGAAAGAGATCTAGGAGTGGTTCTAGATAGAAAACTATCACCTGAGGACCACATAAAGAATATTGTGCAAGGAGCCTATGCTATGCTTTCTAACTTCAGAATTGCATTTAAATACATGGATGGCGATATACTAAAGAAATTGTTCATGACTTTTGTTAGGCCAAAGCTAGAATATGCAGCTGTTGTGTGGTGCCCATATCTTAAGAAGCACATCAACAAACTGGAAAAGGTGCAAAGACATGCTACTAAGTGGCTCCCAGAACTGAAGGGCAAGAGCTACGAGGAGAGGTTAGAAGCATTAAATATGCCAAAACTAGAAGACAGAAGAAAAAGAGGTGATATGATCACTACATACAAAATAGTAACAGGAATTGACAAAATCGACAGGGAAGACTTCCTGAGACCTGGAACTTCAAGAACAAGAGGTCATAGATTTAAACTAGCTAAACACAGATGCCGAAGAAATATAAGAAAATTCACCTTCGCAAATAGAGTGGTAGACGGTTGGAACAAGTTAAGTGAGAAGGTGGTGGAGGCCAAGACCGTCAGTAGTTTCAAAGCGTTATATGACAAAGAGTGCTGGGAAGACGGGACACCACGAGCGTAGCTCTCATCCTGTAACTACACTTAGGTAATTACACTTAGGTAATTACTATCGCCCGCTTTGGACACCGCTCACATCTACTTTTTTTCTCTAGTCCTAGCCGAGGACAGGACTCGCGTCCAATTCAAAAATATTTGTATAAAGTTCATTTTTTATCTGATCGACCTCAGGATAGTTTCAAAATAAGAGTGAAAATAAGAGTTCAAACCTTAAGAGTGCGTAATATTTGATACCAAAATGAAAGATGTAACACGAAACTTGATGTCGGAACACTTGAAAGATTATAAATAGGTTTTTGGTCAAAATTTTAAAATATTTTTTAAAATTCTATTTATTGTGCTATTATTTTGGGACTAGTTTTAAAATGTGCGCCTTTACATTGCGAACAATTTGATACCAAATTAAAGATGTAACACACAAATTTGTCAGAATACTGGAAAGATATAAATAATTTTTTGACGAGTATCCAAAATTAAAATATTTGTTAAAATTCCAGTTATTGCTCTATTATTATGGGACTAGTTTTAAAATGCGCACCTTTTATATTTCAAACAATTTCATATGAAAATGAAAGATGTAACACGAAAATTGATGTTATTAAACTGAATGAGTATACACATTAGGTTGTGGTGTGCCAATTGGTGCTCGTTTATGGGTAACTTTAGGCTTTCCTGCAGGGAGTCATGCCGGGCTTTTGTACATTACATACATATACACCTGCAGAGAAGTTAATTGCAAACACAATAACAAAACGAACGACGTAGCCCGAGAATTAAGGTGAGAAAACTGAAATGAGCATACACGTTTTACTAATTTTGTGCACTGACGGGTAACTTTTGCTGAATTTAGGCTTTGCTGTTGGGAGTCACACCAGGCTTTTGGACATTCCCTACAGGTGTATGTGCATGTAATTCTATTGCGAACATAATGATACCAAAACGAATGATGTGGCACAAGAATTAAGGTGAGAAAACTGAAACGAGTATACACATTTCAGTGTCGCCGCACGCTCGCCCACATGCGGGGGTAGTGACTTTAAAGTTGGCGGCGCGCATGCCGGGGGCACAGTTGTGTTAACCCTTGGGCCGCTAAGGGCCATTTTGCCTTCAACACCCACGGGCACAATAACAAAAAATTCCCAAAAATTCTTTAGTCTTGTATTTGTGTTCCCTGATCATGAGAAATATAAAAACAAATCGTAAGTGGCATATTTTGGTCACAATAAGGTGGGGAAGTCTGGCAACAGGCGTTGACTGAGCAGTTGCCAGACGAGATCTGCTCATCCCGAGCTATTTTTCCCATGATCAGTGAACACAAATTAACAGGTTAGGAAGAATTTTTTTTTTTTTTTCCTGTGGGTGTCAAATGGTATATAGCCATGCACCATTTAAGGGTTAATGGCAGGCAGGCTGGATTAATGGCAGGCAGGCTGGATTAATGTCTGGGAGGGAGGGATGGGTGTTGAGGTGAACCGTTACCTTTGAGATGGGATGTAGGGGGCAGGGGGTGGGGAAGGTGTGTCGATGGTGGGGGAGGGACCGGCCGGCTCACTCCGATAAGTCTAAACAACACTCCACCCGTTACAGTAGTCAGATTTGTTTCTTAAATTTAGTATATCCTATGTCTTTTTTTGGCAGGCAGGCAGACTGAGAAGCTGGCTAGCAGGCAGGAAGGGATGGATGGATGGATGGATGGATGGATGGATGGATGGGTGGGTGGGTGGATGGGTGTTGAGGTGAACCCACGTGACCTTTTAAGTGTGTATGGGTTGTAAAGGGGGGGGGATGGGAGGTGTGTCGGTGGTGGGGGAGGGACCAGATAAGCCTAACCACACTAGACCCGTTATCCAGATTTGTTTCTTAAATGTACATCATATATATTTTTGGTTACAGGTTTTGTTTAGTAATATTATTAGGATAATAACAAGTTATAAAAATACTTTATGAATGCTTTATTGTATTAGATGGAGATTCTCTGGCTGGCAGTGTACTAAGCTAGCCACCTGGGGAGAGGAAGGGCAGCAGCAGTAAGGGTGTACTCGCATAGTTGTACTCATCTAGTTGTGATTGTGGGGTTGAGCTCTGGCTCTTTGGTCCTGCCTCTCCTGAGGGAAAAGTGGATCAGGTTTTCTCTAGTTGGTGAGTGCAAACAAAATACTGTTATATTTGCTATGAACCTGTCAATTTTTTCCCTGGGATTTTTTTTCTCTCAATTTTCTTCAATTTCTCGTTTACGAACTTACACGATAACAGACGGGTCTCGTCCCCAAGGGGATTGGAAACCAAGTGGTACTCTGTATATGCATACAAGGTTAAAAAGCCCTGTGTACCACCCGCAACAAACGTGAAAATCGAAAAAGTATTACCCGTGAGTGAGCACCTATCCGCAACACAAACACCTGCACTAAAAATGTGCATACTCTTCAGTTTTCTTATGTCAAATTTCGTGTTATGTTGTTCATTTTGGTATCAAATTATTTGAAATGGAATTCTCTAAATAGATATATGCATATAAGGTCAAAAAGCCCAGCATGCCACCCGAAAATTGGCAGAGCGTTACCCATAAGGGTTGTACACATTGTAAGTACCTAGATAATTACACTTAAGTGTAGTTACAGGATGAGAGCTACGCTCGTGGTGTCCCGTCTTCCCAACACTGTCATATAACGCTTTGAAACTACTGACGGTCTTGGCCTCCACCACCTTTTCACCTTACTTGTTCCAACCGTCTACCACTCTGTTTGCGAAAGTGAATATTCTTGTATTTCTTCGGCATCTGTGTTTAGCTAGTTTAAATCTATGACCTCTTGTTCTTGAAGTTCCAGGTCTTAAGAAATCTTCCCTATCGATTTTATCAATTCCTGTTACTATTTTGTACATAGTGATCCTATCGCCTCTTTTTCTTCTGTCTTCTAGTTTTGGCATATTTAATGCCTCTAACCTCTCCTAGTAGCTCTTGCCCTTCAGTTCTGGGAGCCACTTAGTAGCATGTCTTTGCACCTTTTCCAGTTTGTTGATGTGCTTCTTAAGATATGGTCACCACACAACCCCTGCATATTCTAGTTTTGGCCTAACAAAAGTCGTGAACAATTTCTTTAGTATATCGCCATCCATGTATTTAAAAGCAATTCTGAAGTTAGAAAGTGTGGCATAGGCTCCTCACACAATATTCTTTGTGGTCCTCAGGTGATAGTTTTCTATCTAGAACCACCCCTAGATCTTTCTTTATCAGAATTCTTTTAAGACTTCTCACATAATATAAAGGTTGCGTGGGGTTTATGTTCTCCTATTCTACATTCCATAACGTGGCATTTATTAACATTAAATTCCATTTGCCAAGTGTTGCTCCATATACTTATTTTGTCCAGGTCATCTTGAAGGGCATGACAATCGTCTAAGTTTCTTATCCTTCCTATTATCTTGACATCATCAGCAAACATGTTCATATAATTGTATTCCATCTGGTAGATCATTTATGTAGACAATATGTGTACTGTTCAGTTTTCTCGCATCAATTTTTAATGCTACTTAGTTCATTCTGGTATCAAATTGTTCAGTCTAAAGGAGCACATTTTAAAACTTTTAAATTTTACAATTTTTTACTTAAAAGTCCCATAAAGATCGGGTTAAATAATGGAATTTTAACAAATATTTACATTTTTGACACGACCCACATCCCAGGCAACATCCGCAGAGTTATTTGTAGACATAAACTATGTCCCGCGAACGCGAAAGTGTTTAATGCTGCTGTTCTCTCTGTCTGTCTCTTTTTCCCCTCCCCTCCCCTCCCCTCCCCTCCCCTCCCGATCCCCCCTTCTTTCCTTCTGTCCAAGTGTGTGTGTAGCTACTATGCCAAGCCTCCATAGTAAACCCTGCATGAAAGGACAGTAGTTTTATTATTACCCTGTATAATTTACAATAACATCAGTACATTGAAGCTTAATATTTCTGAAACTTTTCATTTACTGTCATTTTCAGGGTGTTTTGGATCGTGGGGTCTTGACATTTTTTAACAGCCGTGCAGATGCCAGTTCAGGTGTACGAAGACGGGACTACAAATACTTGGACAACAGCAAAGTTATACCCATGGTGGGAGGTGATGGGGCAATGTTTGTTATCCAGTATAATGATGGAGCCTGCCACCGGTTAGCAGCCACTCCTGATCCATTACATCCAGCATCCATTAATAGACAGGTGAGAATTATTTGAATACTATGGGTTCTCCTTATTACGAACTATGCTCTAACAAATTCCTGGATGGTCTGAACAGTTTGTTTGCTGAATGTTGTTTAGTACGTAGCAGTATTTGATTAGGTGAGGATTGTTGTAATGACCGGTATATAAAGTCCAGTATTTATTTTTATTAAGCTAAATGGTTTTTCCTTGGTTAAATTATCAGTTTGTTTAATTTTTGTTAATTTGTATCTAATCTGACAGTTTTTGAGTACGTTGAGTTGTGTATTGGTAAATATTTATTCTGCTTGTGCATGTAAAGATCTCCCATGTTTTTGTAAGGGTAGCATCCCTGCATCCCACGAGGACAGAAAGAAGTTAGACTAGACCCACAGAGGGTGTGGGGTGTGCACCCATGAGGTGCCCACCTCATTGTTAACTAAAATGAAATGCTGACAAATGGAAACAAAAATTAGCAATAAAATATTTTAACCAGCAAAACATTAACCCTTAAACTGCACAATACATCTATAGCTGGGGCGAGTAACTATTGCGGGACGGTGCACCACAGCTATGTATGGTTGGGAGTACCATGTAAGAGTTAAAAGTTCCACGGCTACACGGGGTTCACATCGGCTTCCTCAGGACTCTTGTAAACACTAATTTAAAAAAAAAATTGTGGGCAACATTCCCAGGTGTGAGAGCTTAAGTACAAGAGTCCGTTTAGTTAAGTCAGTTTACAAGAGCCCTGATGGTGAGGTGAACCCTGTGTATCCACGGGCCGTTTAAATCTCGCATAGTACTCAAAGCCGTCATGTGGCATATTGCGCAGTTTAAGGGTTAGTGGTGCGCTATGGTGAACACAAATGTAGATACTGTACTTACATATAACGTGTGTGTGTAATTACCTAAGTGTAGTTACAGGATGAGAGCTACGCTCGTGGTGTCCCGTCTTCTCGGCACTCTTTGTCATATAACGCTTTGAAACTACTGACGGTCTTGGCCTCCACCACCTTCTCACTTAACTTATTCCAACCGTCTTTCACGAACCGTTGAAATCATGAATTTATCTATTTTTGTCTGAATCTGATTTTCTCTGGCTAATATTGAGACATTGCTCTCAGCCGCGCGAGTTAACAGTAAACAATGCAGTCACATGGCCAGGTGCAGTACGTTCTAGGTCCGTGTGAAAAAAAATACCTATTGCCTATACTATAAAAGGTATTTAATAAGAAAACAAAGAATTTTGTTTAATAACAATAGTTCTAAATTATTATTATTAAAATATTTTAAAATTTTCTTCATAAAACTGAATCATTTTAAAAGAAAGTTAAGATTTAATATACCACTCTGGATGATCGTCTGGTCGCCATGTGAGGGGCTGCCGATGCCAAAACAAACCAAATACCGACCGTCGGTAATATTGACCACCAGACCGGTATACGAGGCTCCAGATACCGATCTCCCAAACCGGTCATTATTACCGGTAGAGCGGTATAAAAGAGGCCGTTAAATTGAGTGGGTACTGTATATAACTTGTGTAAATAGTGTAATAACCGCAAAACTATGTTTATTGTTTTATGAACATAATAATTGAATCACTAATATGCACACCATTCTTTTGAGTATTGCTACGATTCACCCCTTTTATTATATAAATTTATTACACTACACCCTATTGAACAATATTACTGCAAAAAAAAAAAAAAAAAAAAAAAAAAGTCAATCGGAGACATTGAAATAATTAGCTAATAATATCTTTGTGGCAACTCCCACCTGACAGCTGACCGCCTCTGACGACTGCTCTGTCAACACCCACATTTTGCCAGACTTTCTCGGCCTGTTGCAGCTAAAATATGTCGCCTATGATTTTTTTTTTATATATTTCCCATGCTTGGGGAAAACAAATTAACGTTTTTAGAAGACACAAAAAATTGTAGATTTTTTTCTTGTGCACAGGGGTGTAAATCTCCTCGGGACCCCTTAGCAGCTCAAGGGTTAAAGGCTAGTAAATTGTCGTTTTTTCCGACAGCTCGAAAGTGTTAATAAATCTATCTCGCAAATATTTAGTTAGCATGACTTGCTACAGACAATCAATATTTTTTGTATTATTTGTACAAAATGCAGTTTCTTTTTATTTGCAGAAATGGGTAGCTGTATTGAACAACCACATTAGATTTTCAACTCACTATGTTCAACATGGTCTTTGTGTAGATGATGACGACGATGATTTTATGGACAGGACTGTTAAACCTCTTGGCTGTATGTCTGTAAGTAGAAATTTGTTCATGTGAAGTAAATGGGGAAAAAAATTGCCATTTTATTTTGCATCTTCACTAGGAATATTTTTTTTTTTTTCTTTGAAATTTCTAGAGGGATATTTCCCTGTGGCTCCCTGAAGCTATCTCGCCAAGATTGCTCCATACTTTTGGCTCACAAAAGATGCGGTAGTTCTGTTTGGCTTATTGGGGACCAGTGCCAAAACCTGGCCTCACTCACAGGTGCAGAGAGCAAGTAACAATTTGTCACCACTGGACAGCAAATTTGGGAAAGCATCCAGAAAGTGAGTACAGCTTTACAAACAACTGGAGGATAACGAAGACCAAAGCCTCAAAAACGCCAAACAACTCTGCAAATGATTCAAGTGGTTCAAAAGAATAAGAGAAGCGTCCAAAATTAGTGCAAAACCAAAGGCACTAAATGCCACCACCAGGCAGGCCAGCTCCTGCACGCAACAGTCTTCCATCTCGTTTTTTTACCAGTGCTTTATAGGGCACTTTTGTTTCAGGTCATTCAAACATAGGAAGCCCCTCTGCTTCGGCCATCCTTGGAGGTTCCTGCAGGAGCCATTTGCTTTGTATTCTGTTCTATATTTTGCTTTTTACTTCATGTGTTTTCTATCTGGCTTGTTGTATGAGCTTGGATTCAATGTGTTGCAAGCTGCATGCATCCTGGGTCCCTTCGCAGGGGGGTGTGCTATAACTGCTAGCACTGATAAGGGGTATCTTCCCTGGTGTGTTTGAAACTTCACACCTGAGAGGCCAGGCCACCGGGGTGGAGAGCTTTGCCTATGGCTATTCACGAGTCTTTGACTCGTCTGTTTGGGCACTTGGCTGGGGGTGCATGGTTGATTGTGCTGGAACACACCGAGGCAAGCGTGTTTGTTTATATGCCATGCCACATACCACATGCCATGCCACCTGGGTGGTTTGTTGGCTAGCTGGTAATCCCTTCATGGGTCTTTGACATTGTTAGTTTGGCCCATAGAGCCCACACTTGCCATATGCAAGTTTGAAAGGTACTAATCATCTTTGCTATAGATTATGGTCATTTTTTCTGCCTCTGCCATGCTGTCTGTTGGATTAATGATATCTATGACCTGGAGTCCTGTCAGATTTGTTCCCTCTGGGTCTCAACTTCCATTAATCTTCAAATGCAAAAACTTTTCAGGCATCTTTGGAAGTTAGGTTTGTTTGGGTTAGGCATATGCAGCATTGTAATTAGTTGGATGCCTCGGAGTTGGTCCTTTAGTGTTTAGGAACCTGAAATTGGAATCTTTGCGATATCCACCTGGACTAGGTCTACAATCCCCTCTTCCTTCCTCTCTCGTGTAGTTTGCCCTGCTTCTGGTCTTCCTATCTCCTTGTTCCAGCTTCGAACTGTCCGAGTGTATTGGAAATTTAAACCAGTGAAATTAGGTGTAGCTCACCCTTTTCCATGAGGTAACCCTATCCTCATTGACAGCAGAGGCAGTTAAGCCTTCTGGACACCCCGGGTTTCAGGGCAGTCTTTACAACTTCACCACCTGCTTTGAGCATTCTTCTTTTGGGGGATATCTTTCTGACCTAGGTGATGAAGACTATTGCTCTACCCTTTAGCCTTTGTGGCAGGCTTGTGGTGCTGAGGGGGGGGAGCCTGAGAAATGTCCATTGGTGCCCTTCGACCCTTCTTGAACTTTGGTTCCCTCTCCAGAGGGTTTTGTGCTTCAGGATAAATTTTCACATCAGGGTTTGGCTCTCCATACGGTGCATGTTCGGGAAGTGTCCAACGTCCTGGTGGACAGCCTATATCTGTTCATTTCCTTGAGCACGGAATGAATGGTAGATGCCAACTCCTTCAGTTGCCTCTGCCACACGTTCGGGTTCCCAGATGTGAACCTCTTCACGTCGGTCTTCCCGTCACTGTGATGCCTTCTCCGACTGCAAGGCCGTTGCGGTGGACGCCTTTCGGCAGGAATGGTCAAGGTGGGGTTACCTGTACCTCTTTCCCCAGGTCCAGCTGTTGCTTTGAGTCTTGGCTCAGTTGGAGACTTACCAGGGGAGAGTAGTCCTATTGGCTCCTTGGTGGCTGAGCCCAGCCTTGATTTCAGGCGCTGCTTACTCGGTGTCCGAATTCGTGATGTTTTCCACGGCTCTGCCTTTTTCAGCATATTAGCCCGGTCAGGTTTGGTCTTCTCCGCTCTTCGCATCTGGTCTTTCTGCCGTGGGCCCATCACTACTTGGATGGTGGCTTAGTTGATCTTGTCTCGCCTGCGAGCTTTGTCTTTGCGACGGTATGAAGTTTCCTGACGCTCTTTCCGCCAATTTCTCTCCATAAATTTCTCTCCGTAGGTTGACTTGTATTTCGGATAGGGTTGTCTTGCACTTTCTTGGCTCTTTCAGGACGGTCATTTGATGCTTAATACTTGTCTTGTATCATGCGGCACTGGCTGTTACGGCTACTATGGGGCCAGTAACCAGGTTCTTGATGTTGTAACCTCTTTTAGTGTATCTGATCCCAAGTCAGTAGTATGCTTTCAAGAACTGGCTGTATAGTGCAATAAAGAATGGGAGGGTAAAAAATATACAGTTCCCTTTACAATATATTCACCTTCACCATAAATAAATATGTATCAAATTATTTCTACACTTATATACAGTAGTGTCATTTTTACGCAGGACACAAGCATTTGCAGTGTTCACCAACTCCAGTGTTCCTCCATCCAGTACCTTGTCCAAGCGTACTGACAAACACTGGCGAATTCATCTTCTACGTGGGCCACTCCACTGACACAGTATCATGAGGTACCTACACCCCACTTTCGCTCTCGAGCTACTCACTGGAAGAGGACTTCGGCTACATGCTGACAGAGGTCTCAAACAACTATATACAGGGGTAACGAACATCCTGGCAAAAGTCTCTAGCAGCGCTTCACAATAGGCACCTCACTGTCGTCCGCAACTCTTCTAAGCCAATCTCGGGTACGCCAATCTTCTACCAACACTGCGTATCTTAGCAGCTAACACACTGCTTAGATCGACGGCAGCTTACATAGTCTTCTTCCAGGACCAAGCGAAGAGTACATGGACTGCCCAAGGTGAACTGCCTTCCTCAGTACAATCACCTCCACACGTCACCTCTGTGGACATAACACGTCATCAATTAGATGAATGGTATACTAGAGAAACCATGAGGTAACACTCGCCTGGGAGTTGACATTATGCTTTTTATAGCACAGCCTAGATGGCGCCGATTGTGACACGCCACCCCAGCAGAGGTCATTTGCATCGACCACTCTTGCTAACTAGGGCAGGAAACCAGAGTCATTTGTCGCTGTCACGCTGCCACCAATAGATGGCGTTGTCCACATAGCGTCCGATACCAGGGGAGTTTGAGTACAGACCCATAGATGGCGCTGACATTACCACTCCACACTCCGATGATGGTGTCGATACCGTAACGCTGGCGGAGCCGCTTCAACTTGTGTTTGGGGTTGATGTTACTTCTGCCCTGTTCTGTAAGCTTTCTCATGCTCTGTTTCACTTCCGGCCTGCTCATGCACTGCCTGAGCCGTCCTTGTCCTTGGCCTGGGTGCTCTTTTTCTCTCTCCCTTCCTCGGTTTGTAGTGGCCCCTTCGGTACAAGTTTGTTTTTTTAAGGCTTTCTTCCTGTTGGCATTGGCTTCTGGGGGTCGGGTCGGGAGCGTCATGATCATCTCTGACGCTGAGGTTTCTGCTCTTTCGGTCCTGGCAGTTTGTTTGCAGCCGTCTCCTTTTCTGACGAAGAATCAGTAGGTGGCTTTCTGGAGGGGATTCTTGGGTCCTTGATGATGCTTAGTTGGTCAGGCCGGGGGTGCATCATGTGTTGTCCATTTGAGGCTCTTTGCTGTTACCTGCATGCCACAGCCTCTGTAGCTGGGGATGCACTTTGGGTTGACCAGGGTTCCCTCGTTCCTTGTTCCCGGGTTCGGGTCTCCCAGGTCGTCCGCAGGGTTATTCAGTCCAGCCAGCCTGTGGTCTTTCCTCATGCCCATGACATTCCCAAGTTTGCTGCTTTGGCTGCCATCTTTGGTAGCATGTCTTGAGTTTACATTTGGGTGTGGGGATTTTGGAGGTCGAACAGGGTCCTGGCTGGCCATTATCTCGTTACCGTTCTTGGCCCTAGTAGGGCGTGTCGCTTTGGGCCGCAGTAAATATAATTATATATACTGTAATTATATTTACACACATGTACACACTATTTTCAGGTTTTTGCACTATCATTGCACATTTAGAAGTCTTGGAGAGAGTGGTAGTTGTTAAAGCAGTTGACAGCACACAAAGGGACTGCACACACTTCACACCATGTTTGCACAAGTTTACGTTTCTGATCTCTCCTTTTTAATGTTCTACAAACTAAGCAATCACGTTGGCCTATTGCACACTTTTCAGCTGGTGGCAAATGTTTTAGTCTGTGTGCTTGAAAGGTTTCTATGTAAGTGAGCCTGGGTGTAGCAGCATGCTGCAACACTGGGTTCGTGATGGGTCTTTGTATGCCAGGAACATCTTTGCCAAACATTGCTAATAACTGTGTCCCAAGTGTAAAAGCAAACGAACGAAAACCTGGTTTACGTCCAGTTTTCACCAGATACATATTGTAGCTGTTCAGTATGCTTATGTCAACAAGATAGAAAAACTTCTTTCATGCACTTACATGTTTTCTGCGCACATTCGACAGTGCCACCATCACGTTGGATTTATCAACCAAACGCATGTTGATATTATAGTCGAGAACACAATCTGGCTTGTATACTGGTTCTTGCATTACTCGGTTCGCCTTGCCACTGTTCACCGTTGTACCATCATAAATGGTTGTCAGCAAGTTCACTTCCCTCTTGTCTTTCCACCTAACTGGGAGTATTTGATCACTTTTTTTTAGCTGGCAGTCGCCAACTTAAAGATTGTCAAAATCTGGCATTTCCCTTCTTCTTGGCTTTACATTGCCAACCATTCCAGTTCTATTTTCAATCGAGAACCTAGCTAGCAAGGGACTTGTATAGTAGTTATCCGTGTATAAAATGTGGCCCTTGTTCATCCATGGTGCCATTAGTGACTTTACCACACTACCTGAGAAACCATGTTGGTCGTTACCAGGAATGTCTGCATCGCAAACAGAATCATGTGTAACATGTATCCTTTTTCACAGGATACATGTAGCCAGCACATGGCTAGCCAGCCAGCACAGCTTTTGACCAGCACATGGTCAAAGGAGGAGCTAGATAGTAAACGAGAAGGTCTTATAACAATGAGAAAGGTCACAGCGAGAGCGGATAACGATAGATCACGACTGTTGATAGTCGGCGACTTCAACTTGAAATCCATAGACTGAGAAGCATATGAAGCTAAAACAGAAGATTTTTGGACCTGTAAATTTGTAGACCTCATCCTGGAAACATTCTTGTATCAACATGTTAAACAAGCTACGAGGATGAGGGACGGGGACGTTCCCTCCATGTTAGATTTGATATTTACCAGGAAGGAGGAAGAAATATTTGACATTTAGTACCTTCTGCCCTTGGGTAAAAGTGACCATGTCTTTTTGGGAATAAAGTATGCAATGCATTATAATCTGGAAGAAAATAAGAAGGTTGATGTAATTGAAAAACCTGTCTTTAGGAGAGGACATTATGGCAACCTTAGAAAAAAATTTAGTGAGTATAATTGGACAGACTTGTTGCTAGGCAAGGAAGTGAATGAGATGTATGTCAAGTTTTGTGAAATATATGATAAAGGCACATAAAAATTTATTGCGTGGTGCGTGCCCGGGAGGCGTTCCGCCGTGAGCTCGCCATGGTGACCGCTGGATAACTCGGGCGTCCCACGTGTTGGTAGTGTGAGCCGGATTTTTTTTTTTTACAAAATGGCGGCTGTTTACTATAGCCCCTGGGAAGCGTATGGGGGGGCCCCCCTACCCTGCTGGCCATTCAAATCTTGCGTGGTACAATGCGCAATTTATAGCAAGTTACTCAACACATCATATGACGTGTTGCGCAGTTGTAGGGTTAAAGTTTCTAAATATGACGGTTTTAATTATTTCAAATGCATTAACAGTTGTATTGCAGAACTTGCCTCAACCAGGTTGAATCCCTTTATATTCTTGTACAGGTAGATACTCTTGGAAAGAGAGGAAGATGTGGAAGGTCATAATTGGAAACTTACGTAATTGAGAAACTGAATTTATTTTTCTTTATACGCTATTTTAAACTGTAGCTTTATCTCCAGAGAGCAGATTGAACCATAGGTTTATTACTCTGGGAGAAGTAAATTTTTATGCTACAGTCACTAAATATGTAAACATTTCTTTAAAATTAAGTTTATCATTTTTCCCAGGATGCACTGCAAACGGCTACAGCTCACCAACAGTTGATGGAACAACAAGTAGAAGAAGTGATGGCTACTTTGGCTTCCCTTGATCTAGACCATTCACAACAAGGGGAAGTACATGATGTCATTAAGGTATGTCTCAGTGTAATCTTTTGAAAGTTTTTCTGGGATAGCTCCACCCTGTGACTCCTCGCGCTACCCACCTGGACCCTTCCAAACCTTTACATTCTCTAGAAAGACGAAGAAGAAATAGGGGTGACATGATAGAGGTGTGACTGAATGGTCATAGTAAAGGGGTATGTTAATAACCTATTAAACGTATCAACATGAAACGGAACAGGAATAAATTGGATAGGTTTTAGATTTAGGAAAAGACCTGGGTAAATACAGGTAACAGGGGCGAACTCGAAAATGCACATTAGTTCTCGCACTGTGTTTCATATGAATGGATTTTATTCTTATGCTCAATAAACGATCCTTGGGTGGACATGCTATTTCAGTAAACTGACTTATTCGGGGAAGATGAAGACTAGCCAGTTGATGACGTCATTTGTCCATTAGCGATGCCTGTGCATGGGTCACTGGGGTAACGAAATTTGGGTACGTCATGGACCGGCCTTTTTATCCTACCCCCAGGCAAATTGAAGACTGGCTACCCGATGACGTCATTGACCATTGGTGATGCCTGTGCTAGGGTCGCTGAGGTAACACAAAACACAAGAGACAAGTACCGGCCATCACCATTTGTAACGAAAAACACACGAGACAAGTACCGGCCGTCGAAAAAAGCAAAACGGCCGGTACTTCTCATTTCCTACTACTACACACGTGTACAAACGTGTGTACAAACGTGTGTCATGCTCGTAACAGTGTCTTCGGACAGTACGGATGTTCTACTGCCATAATATACTGTAGTGAACGTGTTCATTATACATTGGATTGGCACAAAAAAATGAAATGAAATGTATTTGAAACTGTGCGTAAAAATTGAACAAAAAATATATTCGTGGCAGCTGGCACATCTTGAGCTGGGCACGCTAGTGGCCCCGGGGGCATACACCACAGGCGACCAGGGATTGATGACGTCACGCGCGAACTTATGGACCCTATAGCAGCCAAAGTAAGTACAATTTTGACATTTTGTTAATATGTCCATACTCGGGGAAGGGTTTTCGACACTGCAAAAAACAAAGAATTTTTGCAGATTATTTCCTGCGCACTGTGGGGGGGGGGGTGGTGTCATTTGGAAGCAGAGCAGTTGAGGGGTTAAGGGTGCCTCGCTACTCTGAGCATCACTTCTCAGTTCAGTATTGTCGTTCCATTTGGACTCTACTGCATGACTGCATATGCTTACCTATCGATAACTATAAGGGGAGCGAAATCTAGCTCTTTGTACTGCATCCTAGCCATTAACCACTGTGCTGTGCCGCGTTTATTGTGAAATTCCCCCGGTGAACACAAATACTGTACATGTTCAGTACTTTGCATTAGTAACTTGAATGTAACATAATTGTAAGGTATATGTAAGCATTATAAATAGAGGTAATATTTTTCCCAACTTTTATTTTTTTTTTAGAGAT